TTGTTTTTCACAGGTCTAACAATGCTAAGAGTAAAAAGCAGAGAGAAAAATTGAGACAAACAAAACACCTTTCATCACTGCCACAAGTTAACAGGTGCCATTAGGAATAAACAGTATACACAAAAAATGCAATGTTATTCTTCTGTCAAGTAGATTGTTGTTCAGCTGTGTGCAGCTAAATTTGCAAGCCTTATGAATAAATAAATGCCCATTAATTGAGAATAAAGTTATAGACCATGCATGCATGGAGAGAAAATTTTATGCAATTACCTGTGATCAGGAAGACCAAGTGCTGTTACTGTGGCATGAATTGTTGTGTCGATGACAGCAAAGTGATAATAGTCAAACAAGATTGGCACATGGTGATGCAGACCTTTCACACAGGACATGTGCAGTTTTAATGTTTGGGTGCTTACATTTGTAAGAGATTCAACTGACTCAACTCTGTTTGATGAGAAAACAAGGATGATGAGAATTAGGGATCAAAATCAGTATCTGAGCAACTGAGCACCTACCTACCCCTTCCCTAACCCAGTGATAGTCAATTGATAATAAGTCAAGGTAAGAGTTGGGCTAAGGGAGGGGTAGGTGTGCAGTTTCTCAGATACTGACATTGTCCCAGAATTAAGCCTTGGTTGGAGAAGACAAAGAAAAAAAAGAAACATGTCCTCTTAAAATTAAAGCATCCAGCTTCTTCATCTCTCTCTCTTTAAGTTATTCATGGAGGGACACAATTAACTGCTTTGCCAAAGATATGGACAAATTACTGAAGGTAAACCTAGGGCAAAGGAGTGAGGATGTGATATGTAGAAGATTTAAAACTAGGAAAATTATTTTATCGACAGAATCAAAATACTTCAATAACTTCTTTTTTCCAAATTGGAGGATAACTGAAGCAGCCTTAAATTTGAGGTTTAGATGAAGAAAGAAAAATACTACAAAATTTTAATACAGTACTGTTATGTGGACAGTTAGATTGAAATCCTTACAACTGCAAAGGATAAAACTAATTTCTAGGATCTTGATCAAGAAAAGACAGCTGTCATAAATCATCCATGTAACAGCAGGATAAAAAAATGTAAAGAAACTTACCACATTATTAAATAAATGCACTCAAAGCCAATATGTGAGTAAGCAAACTTGTTAAAAGAATTTATCTAGTTGAAAAATTTCTCACCCATAGTCCGAGTCTGAGAAAAACAGTTCCACTGACATTTGATAATCTCCTTGGTCAATTTCCTGGACAATCTAAAGAGAACATTGTTTACTTTATATCATTTTCAGTGCATTCACTCTGAAGAAGGGCTAACACTTGAAACATCAGCTTTGAAACTCTTGACAGTGGCAATTTACATAATCAACTCTTTTGACATGTTACACTCTCCCAGCAACTCAGTACCACTGATAGAGAGATTTTAATGGGACTTTTACCTTGTCACTGTTCACCAACAAATGGAGACGAAAAACAAAGGAATCATTCAACACCACAGACTCATTTCTGTAAAGAATTTGGAATGTTTTTGAGATGGCTGTCTGCCCAGAAGAGTTGATGGTTGCTCCAAATTGGTATTCTGCCTCTTGGCTGTCTGTGTTGTTAAAAATAAAATAACAGTATAAGTTGTTATGATGTCATAACTTTATCACACACTACATTTGATGAAGTAAATTATTGTGGCCAAGTAGACTTATAATATGATGGTCCTGGGTTCAAGTCCTCCACCCTGTCAATCACTTGATTGTTCTCAGTCCCCCCGAGTTCAACTCCTTGGCTACACTAGTACTGTGTAAATAGCCAACTGGTCTGCCTCATGTAAGTTGGGATTTTCAAGCACTTTATGTTTATTTAAAATATTTGGTTCTCTCTGATCTGAATATATGAATATATGCACACTACACATTTCAATTTTTTTTATTTTTTATCGATGAAAAATAGCACAGGATAATACAAATAAAGTAATCTAGAGAATGATAGTTTCTTGTAATTTTTTTTTTCTTATAACTCAGAGATATACATTTATATTGTGGGAAGTGATCATATTTGCATGCTCTACCCTGAAATTACAGGGGTTTTGATAAAAGCTGGTTAGCGATGGTCTAACACCATCTTTTGTTACTGTCTGCTCAGAATTTATATAAAAAATTTGTTTTGCTTCTTTTGAGATCACAGCTGGTAATTCCACCATCAGCTGCATCTTGTAGAAAAAGTAACTGAATTATTGAAATATCTTTAGTACTTTATAGGTGTTCCTACTTTTAGAATTTAAATGCATCTCTAGATCCTATTAATTTGACTGTAGCCATGACTAATTCTTGATCTCTGTGATGATGGGATGGACATAACTGTCAAATTCTATTTCTGGGTTTCCTCAGCTTGAGAGACTGTAATTCAAAAGAGTGCTATCTGATTAAATTGTACTCTGAATTACTTACCTGACACTGTATCAAGTCTTTTTTCTACCTCCACACTTGCTGCTGCCTTCATGGGAGGTTTAAGAGTACAACGAATATGGTAATACCTGCCAGTTCAAATATCTCAATTTATCATCTGATAAAATCTTTTTTTTCACTAAGTACTCTTAGCTGTGACCAACTTGGTCACCATTTGGTATCGCATCAGCTAATAATCCCACAATTGATATATTTTTTGTTCTCATCACTTGTCTGCTTGATATTGTCTTGATATTGTAAGGAGAAATTCTGTCTTGGTCATCCTTAAGAGTGAAAGGGTTAACCCTTTAACTCCCGTGAGTGACCAAGATAGAATTTCTCCTTAAAATAGCAATACAATATCAAGCAGACAAGTGATGAGAATGAAGAAAAATATCAGTTAGGGGATTATAAGTTGATAAAATATGAAATTATCCAAACTAACATCACAAGAACTGTATGGCAGACAGAAAGAAGAATTACTAATGAGATCTTGGGAGTTAAAGGGTTAAGACAAAACTAAGGATCAAACAGAGTGTTGTGAGTTGTGACCTTGATGACCTTTTCGATTTATAATAACTATCCTGGATTAATTTTTCATTCTACAGCCACCTGGGAACAGATTTCATTTTGAAACTAATATCGGCTCAAATTCTTCCACTCAGCAGGGGACTTAAAACTATTACAAAATAAAACAAATTATTTTTCAATATTTACTTTATCTGTTCTTGATCCAAAAAAAAAAGATGTTATACAAGAAATCAAAGAAAACAGTAAAATAAAAAGACAAAAGATAAGATGTAATGAGGATGTCTAAATTTAGAAGCCATGAGGTCTTGAGTATTGGGCCTCTTTAAATACTACCCACTCATTCAAATAAAAAAGATCACATTATAATTTGATGAAGAAATTAACTGTTAACCAGGGGATTATGTGACATAAATTTATTGAGTTTCTTTGATATGTCTTGGGCATATTTTTAGAGAATGCAAAGAACCTGAATTTAAATATTTGGGGCTGGTTCAAAAATAAGAATTTGTTTGAATTTTAACAGGAAAAAGTATTCCTAACGAGGAAGAAGGTGTAACTACACATATATGAGAACTTATAATAGAGTACCAGTACATCCAATTTCTGTTGTAGATGTTCATGTTTTTTCTGGAGAATTTAATCAGATTAATTTTGTCTAGAGCTAACATCTGGAGAGAGAATGACTTTTTTTTCCTATGAATAATATCAAAAGATCAAAGTGATATGCATTGTTATTGATCACGGCGGGGTGCATTGCCTAAACATATCTGAAAATTTCTATGGGGAATAGTAAAGTCAATTAATCTCTTACACTAATGAATACCATCTTTAAAATTCCTATAATCGTTTGATTTCATAGAGGATTTATACGTCAAATAGAAAAAATAAAAATTTGAAAAAACGAGCGATCAAAGTCATTTGTTAAGTGTCACTAATCTAATTTCGGTTTCCTTTTCGTTATAATTTGATGTAGAACATTCCTTATATATAATCTCTGGATTGATTAAGGAAATACAAACATAATAAAATTAAATCAATAGCTACACATTTATACATAGAACGTTATTTCAAGCGTTACATACCCTCGCTGAAAGAGATCGATGTTGTGAAACGTGGAAAATTCGACGGCGAATTCTATCGTTGCTTGTAAATCCCCGGACATAGTGAGTTCTTCAAAAGAGTAACAACTTCAACTAAAATTATTTATCAAGGCAGTGTCCTACATCGTTGTTGATATCCTAATCTTCCGCACAATTTAATGCCTTGAGATTGCTGAAAAAAATGACATCAATGACAAGTCACCAAAATATTCCTTGACCGGCATGGGCTGAACTTCTGAACGCGCGCTTTCATGCGTTACACCGATTCTCGACAAATTTAAAAACTAGCAATGTGAAATTTATGACCTTTAGATCCGCTTTACCCATAAGTATTCTATCAGCTGTGGTTTATGGTCACTTGAAAGCATCTTTCACCAATTTGAGAAGCTAGGAAATACGTCATAAAATTAGACATCTTCGATCCTTGGAAAAACACGAAACCTTACTCCAATTAAAATAACAACAACAATTTCAGCGTCAAAGACAAAAGGGCAAAACCTCAAGAGTCAATAACAGCAAGACGTTTCTCAATTCTAATTGATTATAAATACGAACAGCACTCCTAACAACTATGATCTCTACAAGGCCAATTAACCCACGCGAGAATATTTATCCTTTTGTTATGTCAACTTGACCAGTCATAATTTACTAGAAATGTCAATCACTCTCGAATAAAACAACTATACATTAATAATGCACAAAAAACATGATAAGTATATATTAGAAATTGTTACGGGGACTTCAAAGTCTCCTAGAGAAAAACACAAACCTGTCACACATATACCCTCCGGCCGCCATCTTGTTGGTCGTCGATCGTGTAACAGTACCTCTCGTCCAAGTATATCACGTAGAGTCTGGGTAATAGAAGTTTGTTTCCAAGGAGACGAATAACTGTTTTCTAGTCACGTGATAGGTGCTTTTATAACATGCCCAAAATTACAATACCGATAGTTCGTATGTAACATTACCAATATTATCTCAAAATGGGAAAGATAACCTTAGATATGCTGGCGAAATCTCCAAGCCATACAAAGAAAAGAAGAGATGAAACTGTGCAACAATACGTGCGGAGGTTGACCCACTTGTATTTTTCAGAGAAAAACATCGATGAAATTGTAAGTTTGTTCGACTAGCGGATTGAAAATCAGTAAGCTTAAATTTTGTATTCCACAGATATCCTTCTCATTTAATCCTATGAGTTAGATATTCGACCCGCAGTCATGGACAAAAATAGGCTTTCTCGAGGTCGGGGTGCTCACAAAGTTATTGATTCGTGGGTGGGAAGTTTTCAAATGATTGTAAGCTATGAGTTTTCGTAAAGCTTATGTTCACTCATAGCTAGAGTAAGAGATCTTATAAACGTTTTACAGTCTTAATATGCAGCAAAACTGTGTGAAATACATATTTCTGGCAAAACTTGCTCATAAAACTGTTTTCAAGTTTAGAATATCGAGCGAAAGATAAAATTTTGTAATTTATATCTCACACTGTTCATAAAACTACTGTATGACAGTTGTCTACATACTTGGCATACTGTTTGCAGTAGTGAGGAAATTCTTAGATGTGATCAGTGTGAATTTACAGCGATTTGTTGTCTGTTTTGATATTGCAGGATAATCTTCATCACTGCCGAAATCTATCAGTTCTCTACCTTTATGACAACAATATTGCAAAGATCAAGAATCTTGGTTTTGCAACCAGCCTAACACATTTATACCTTCAGAAGAATGAGATTACTAAAATAGAGGGACTTGACAATCTTAGGAGATTAACAAAGTTGTAAGTATCTCTGTGCTTACTTACCCTGGGACAGTAATATTAGTAGGTATATGGTTGAGCTGTTCCAATTTAAACTTTTTTTAACTAAGAGGTGTACACAGTACTGCTTAAAAAAGTAGATGCAGAGTCCCCTTTCTTGTTGGTGGTAATGGGTCGTTTTGCCATATTCATTGGTAGATTGATTGGTGGGTTACAGCTACTGTACATGCAACACGCAAATGCTGTGATAGAGCAAAATCAACTACAAAACTGTATGACCTAAGCTAGAGGGTTAGTTTGTATGCTCAATGTTGACATTTCAAATCTACAAAGTGTGTGAACTGACTTCTACACATATAAATGCTAGTAACATTTGCAAATTAAACTGACTTCTAAACGTTTGTGAACTGACTTCTACACATTTGCGAACTGACTAGAGACATTTGCGAAACAATCGTTGGTCAAATGACTCATTTGAAAACAACCAACATTCTTGTTGGCATGCAGTCTGTTGCACAAGTCAACAAAAATCAAGGAAAAAAAAATTGATGTTAGTGTGTGGCAGGGAGGTCCTGGAGTGAGTTGCTTGAAAAGTAAGGAACACCTCACTCAAAGAGCTCCCCATGGTGTGCTGACATCATTTTCCCCCCTAATTTTTATTGAGAAGCACTAGTCTAAAACATAGATTAACAGTCCCTTGAAATATGCACAAACTGGAGCATGCTTCAATTAGAGCTTCTGGGATAAAGGGGGAAAATTATACCTTAGGACCCCTCCCCTGAACTGAAGCAATCAGCCCTAAAAAGAGCAGTGGTCAGTACTAGTTACAATCAAAAGTGCAAAACTCTTGTTCCAAATTCTGTTTTCATTTTTAAGTTACAAGAGTTGATTTTATAAATTTCACTTATTTTGATAAAATTTGCAGGTACCTTGGTTCTAATTCCATCACAGTTGTGGAGGGGTTGGAGAAACTTGAAAGTCTTCGTGAGCTTCACATTGAAAAACAAAATCTACCTCCTGGTGAAAAGCTTCTCTTTGAGCCAAGATCACTTGAAGCTCTTTCTGTGAGTACAAAAATTCTTAACAGTTAATTAATAGTTTATCACTGACAGTAATTGGGTTGAACCCAGAAGTGAACAGGTGATCATGTGTAAATAAATTAAAAATAACACCATTCATGCGGTAATTAATACTTTTCTTTTAACAGAAATCACTATGCGTGCTGAATATATCTGAAAACAACATAGATTCTGTTGAGGAGCTGAAATGTCTCAAGAACATGACGCAGTTTTTCACAGAAAACAACTGCCTCTCAGATATGAAGGTGTGACACTTCTTAATAATATTTTCTCCTTGTAAAATTTTCTCCTAGTATTTGGAAGAAAGTTTAATCCTTTGTCCAGGAGGTACTTACTTCCAATGTAGATGGATTGCTTTTAGATTTGCATATTAAATTTCCTTGTTGAATACTAGCCAACCACAGCTGAACACATTGTCATAAAATTGTATCCAGTTGACCCTATAGCATGAAGAAGGTTTGCAGTATGCAGTCAGTATGGTTCTTTCCACTGTAAAACCCTCTATCTTGTGAAACAAATGATTACATCTAACCCTTGGAGCCCTAAGGGGGCAGGATTAGCATCTAATTGCTTCTTACAATGTCACCACTGAATCACACGCTAAGGTCACAACAATAAATGAAATGACCATCAACTAAAGAAGCTTTACTTTTTCAGCACATTAGGAAATGTATAGAGAGTATGGAGAATGTGCATACTGATTTTAGGGTGTAAAGTGTTTAATAAAAACAAATTAAGTGTATTCACCATGATGAGTAACCACAACCCTTTTTATGATATTGTCCATCTATTATGCTTGAGATGGCACAGGAATTTGAGAAATACATCACCTTATGTTTAATTTGTGTATTTTATTTTGACTGTAAAAAAGCTCCTTAACCAACTTATTTAATAAACTTAAATTTTTTTTTTTTTGTAAAAGGAGCTTTCAAGAGTTTTTGCATCTTGGCCATCACTGTGGAGGTTAGAACTGACTGGAAATCCTATTTGTAACAAGAAAAAATACAAGGACAGAGTCATTGTTATGTCCAGGTCATTAGGTAAGTAAAGGTGCAAGGGAATTTCCTTGGAAGAGATATGATTTGTTTTCCCACCACTTAAACTATTTGTCTGTAATCTTATACTAACATACAAGTTGCTTTCAACCACAACCATGTATAAACGTATTGTCTATACTCCAAATTAATTAAGCTGCTTGCTGAAATTTCAAGAGAGATGGTGCAAAGGTAGCGTTAAGTATTGAGTGATTGCAGGTGCATAACCTCAGAAGTGTCAGAGGGCTTTACCGGACGATTATTAGCTAAAGATTGAAGCAGCAAGCGCCACTCTTTCATCCTGCAAATTTCACCTGCTGTTGGTGCTTAGTGACCACCCTGCATATTGATAATAAGACTAAGAGAAATGTAAAGAATTTATTTTTGAATCATACATCAATGCTTGTCTGTTTTTTTTATTATAGTTTCTTAAATTTTGTTTCAATTTACAGTTATGCTTGATGGCAAGGAAATCAATGAGACTGCCAAACGATTTTTAATGAACTGGAAAGCCAGCAGAGATGCAAGAAGGAAACAGAGGAAACAGCTGCACTTCCTTGAAGGGGGAGCATCAAATCTCATATCGGATTCATCAAATGCATTTTCAAGTTTACCTTCTCTTCCACCCATTCAGGGGCTACCAAATGCTGAAGGGGAATATATGATAAACCCTGGAGTAAATCCATTACTTTATGAAGGAGTTGTAGCCAGTGGATCCCAGTCATTAGCACTACCTAGGGGCACAAAACCATTTGCAGCTATAATGCAAGCAAGAGCTCCAAACTCAACACTTTTAAACAGGAAACCTGCAGAGGATGTGTCACAATCAAGGTAAGCAGCATCTCAGATTGTCTTTGGAAATTCTTTTGGATCAATGAACAATAATTGCACACCTACCCCTCCCTTAACCCTACATTAACCCTAGTTTGTTATCAGTTGACTGTTATTGTGTTAGGGGAGGGGTAGGTGTGCAGCTGCTCTGACACTGACAATGATCCTTGCTGTTACTAATTTGAAGAAATGATGTGGATAGTGTTCACACCAGTTAGACTCACCTGTAAGACAATGTGTGTATTAGATTACCAAGTTATAGGGAATAAATTAATATTAGTAAAGATCCACATTTGAAAAACAAATATATATGACACATTGTTCTTTAGGGGTAATTAAGTACAGGTTGCACATTAGCATCTGACACAAGATCCAATTTTTACATTAATAGATAGACAATTTTGTTTATTAATTTTCTGTTTTATTTTAGGTTTCCAAACATCTTTGCACCACCACGCCCCATCATTTCCGAGTCAAACTGGGACACTGACAGTGATGTCCACAGTGGACCACCTGTGCCACTACAGACATAGTGAATTATGGACAATAAAGATTTCTGAAAATTCTATACGTTTTGGTTACAAAAAAGATAAACACTGTTATTGGTAACAAATTGTCGAAGCAACAAAGTGAACACTTAGAGATAAAATCTTCAAAACTGTTCTTTTTTTAATTCAGTTGCCTAATACAATATTATTATGATTATTAGTTCCATAAAGGTTTTTATATATGTGTGAATCATTATTGCTAAATTATTGCTATATTATTGTAAAGTTTTGTACATATAAGTGAATCAATTTTGCTAACTTATATTGTAGATTATTGCTGTATAACTAGAGCCATATTCAAGATTGTTGCAACCTGCTGTAAACTGTAAATAAGTTTGTATATACATTGTTGAGTATTACTTTTACATTTTAATAACAGAATATATTTATTTACTACTCTTAGTGCCAAGAAAAGCACAAGATTGAGTTTGAGGCTAGAGTTGAAAAGACACCAATTTTGATACATGATAAAAAATTATTTCAAGAGTTTTTACCACTTCTCACTTCCATCTCACTTGCTGATTGGGGAAATAATTATATCTAGTTTTTATCACACATTAATGGATTTATGAAGTGTTACTTAAAACTAAATATGGTATTCAATGTGCTCTATGCTACTTCAGCTTGTCAATAGAAGGCATTTTGTTGGTCAGTTGATGGGGTATCATTTGTTAATAAAACTTCAGTACGTCAAAAGAAAATTATTTGACGATAATACAAAGACGTGAAACTCTTCTCTCTGTAATTTTTTATTTTATGGGGCACAATCACAGAGTTCAATTCACAGTTATATACAATATAAAATTCTTCAATTTGTAATATAAGAAACAGTGAGAGAAAACTTAAAAGGTCTGTTGGGACAGACTAAGAGTGAAAATAATTAAAGTTGTTCAGTTGATGATCTTTATATTCCAGCTTACTATAGGCTTACAATTTTGGTAGACAAATAAATAACAGAGGATGAAAGAGAAGTGAGGCAGGAATGACAGGTTCCTCCTATCCCAAACCCTATCTCCCCTTTGGTCCAAGCTTAGCTGTTTGTAAAAGTTGTCATTTAGTGACTCGTTGTCAGAAAATATAGACACATGCAAATTAACATGGCAGACTAAACCCATGACCACATCCCTTATCTTTGTCCACTGTCCAGTACATTTGGGATATGATCCACTGGTGCATGAGTACAACCTTCTTCCAAGCCATTAAACTCACACTGGGGACATTGATGCACAGGAAACTTGTTCTATCTTTGGCTTTACTCTGCACACTTCATCTCATTTAATGCTTGTCTCTTACATTGCTGCCACCTTCTTCAGTTGATTCCTCCATTACTGCTTAATTGTGCATTCCGATTTGACCCAAAACGGCTCTCAAATCTCTTAACATACATATCACAGTGTTCCCCTGGACCAAGATACAAAGAAGTGAAGTCTCAAACTTAAGTCTGGACAGGTTGAAGTTTCCAAGTTTGGAGATAATGCTATTCAATCTCACTGGATTCAATAGCATAAAAAATGCAGAAATTAATTGAGTATCAAAATTGTTCATACCTGGAGCAAAGTCAGGGCTTCCACGAAGCCGCATGTTACGTTGTTCAAAAAACTTGTATACTGCAATAGAGAACAAGGGATCACATTCAGTTTCTTTACATTTAGTGCTTGAAATCATGTAAACCCAGAGAAAATAAGTCTGACTTACGACATTTTATAATTGTTATGTAAACATTATCTATTTGAGAACAGGAAGAGAGCTACTAATATCAACTATAACTTTCACCAGAAATTTTGGGAAGTGACTATATACATGACCTACCAGTGTAGAAAAGCATGGAATCCTCAGGATTTGAAGCAACCTCTAAGAACTTTCGGGGTGATATAGAGTCTTCTGCACCTATAGCACGCACATAGCGCAAGGCAGGCAACAGCTATAAAAAAAAACAAATCACCATGACAATTGTTAATAACAGAAGAACAATCAAGAAGGAAAATGACATAGAAAAGTGCTAAAATTCTGGCTTGTGAACAGGCTCTCATAATCAGTGCTGCAGGATGCGTGTTACTGCACCTGTGGAAAGATTTGAGATGAGTTGGGGAGAGAGTGTTGGTAGTCTGGCACCAATAATCATTTGTGGTGCCACACCACTCACAAAACCTCTCACCAGTTTGCTCAGTTCAAAGCCTTATACTTTCTCACAGGCAAAGAAGTGTTCATGAAGAGCACAAGTAATAAGGGTCTTCTCACCAGCTTCTAAAATTCTACGTAGCTTACTTATCTTTTCAGTTTGGTTGTAAATGGCTAACCTGACGTTTTGAGAGAAGAACCTCAATGATTTCTTCATTAGCTGTGTTAAGTCTCTGTGGAGAGTAACACCGAAAGTTACCCATTTGTCTGAACACAAAAGTATTGATCAGTAATTCATAAAGAATGATCTAAGATAGGTGATATAGACAGTTGAATAAAAGGGGGTAAGTTTCTAAAGGAACTGTGGTGCTGTGTCAGTAGGGGAATATAACAGCATAATTTGGTTTTGTTGATTGAGTTGATAATGTAGATTGTCTACCATAGGTTGACACTTTGTGTGTTAGCCCTACATCATTCACTCTGATGAAGGGCTAATGCTCTAAACGCCAGCTTTGAAACTCTTTAAGGTGAGCAATTTACATTATCTTCTTATACTCCCCACTGACACAGCACCACAGTTTCTTTGGAAATGTACCCCCTTTATGGGTAAACAACTGACTAGCGAGCTGACAAATGGACTACTGACTGTAAAAGTCAGAAAACATAACATAGAGACAGACACATGGTTGATAAAGCCGAATTATCTTGTTATACTCCCCCTCCAATGCAGCACCACAGTTTCTATAGAAACTTGCCCCCCTTTATTCATTAATATAGACAGTTGTTAAAGAAATTTGTTTGAGTTACCTTCAGCATATCCAAGGCCAGTTGGTATGTGGGAGGGTAGGTACTCTCCAGGGACAACATGAGACACGCCTGCAACACATAAGAAAGTTATTATTTGAACATGCACTTGGGTGGATAATTATGAAAACTCGGAAATATAAATTGAATAATATAACATCATGTTTCCAGGGAAAACCCAACCAGACATAAGAAATCCCACCTGAAAACAGTACCTGTTTAGTAATAATTTTGTGGTTTTAAGGTTTTCTCCCATGTCCTGAACTTTATTGTGATTGGTCAGGACATGATTGACCTCTCAGAATTGCATCAAAGTTTCCACAGGTTTTTTTTTTTTACTTTAATTTGCAGTAACTACTAACATTTTGAAAAGATATTTGGGAGAATGAAGGGAGAATTACTAGGTTTAAACCATAATGTAAACGTAACCAGGCAGATACATCTAAAATCATAAGCACAGCATTATCAAAATTTTGTTGCTAATTCTCCTTGTCAGCACCTTAACCCTTTAACTTCCAGTAGTGATTAACATGAAACTTCTCCCAATAATATCCATACATTATTCAGCAAACAGGTAATGAGAATATTCAAACTTATCAGGTGGAAGCTGCTACCTTGATCTAGCACTAGGTTCTCATAACTAATTTAGAAGGAAATGTGTAGCAGCTACAGGGGAGAATTAACAATCAGATCTTGGGAGTTAAAGGGTAAAGAAATGTAGAGAGAACAGTGGAGAGAATTTGCATTCTGAAGCTAGGGCATGATGGGTTAAAAGAATATTGATTTACTCTTACCAGAGGTTTAGAGTCACTGATGACATGGTATTGCAGGAACTAAAAATGCATTCAAATATCATTGAATCATTTGTTTGAATGCATGCATAGAATGTAAGCCTTTAAAAGATTATTCAAACAAGACACTGCAGGAGGAGGAGGTTGTTTAATCCATCTATAATCATGATATACATTAAAATATTATGGGTGTCTAATTGGCTGAAAATGGGTACATTTTTCACATAACAAGAGTGCAAAGTTTACAAGTGCAGATTACAAATAATGCACACTTCCAAAATTTCATCTGTCTTGACTTTCTGTGGTACTTTTCTCATGTAAATTATTAACAAGTAACAACATGACTGATTTCTTATGCAATTTGGTGTAAGTAAGCCCTTGTAAATTTTCAAAGACTTTGTGCGATTTGTTGTCTTTGAGAAATTTCAATGAAGTTGTTACCCATTCTAATTATGAAAATTAAACATTTACTAGATTGTAGGCAGGCTCTAATTGGCATGCACTATAGCAGGAGCAGCAAGTCCTACTGGAGGTGAGCCAGCAGTATGGCACAAATTTTGAATCTGATGGGGATTACTGCTTCTGTCACTGTGCAATAACGCAATGAGAACCTGCTTTTTTGATTCTCATCTTTCATTTGTTTAGAGATAGAACACAAAGAAATATATTGTTAAAAGGCCATCACACCTGATGCAGTTGGTAGAAACGCTTGTTGTGTACCAGAAGATTTATGATCAGCTCATAAAGATAGTGCTGTTGAAGTGGAAAAGAAGAGGGTTATATCATTCAGGGTCACATGATAAGTTGTGGATGGCATTAAGCCAGCAACACACCTGGTGATTTTATTCACCAATCGCATATAAAATTGCCAATATCTGACATGCCAGATATTGGCAATTTTACACAACGATTGCTGTGATTGGCAAAAATTATAACTGCTGCACCAGGCACTCTTGGCGATATTCGCCTATCACTGCATGGCATATCAATCGCAAGTTATGTCACTAGCTTAAGAGGTGGTGTAGCTGGAACCTGGAATTTAAATATAAATTTTAACAAGAAAGGGTGGCTTATACATATAGGTTTATAAATCCTAAATCTGAAATCCAATGCACCAAACCATTGGTTGCCAAGTCTTCTACAAACTTAATTTTAGAGATTCATTTTTGTTTTCTTTTTTCAGTTTTTAACTCTTTAAGTCTGTAGTTTCCCTTACCTCTACCTCAATCTCAAACTGATTCAGAGATCGAATATACTCCACCAACACAGCAACCATGAATTTATACTTTACTTTCTAAAAAATGAACAAGGGAAATGGCAAGAATTAGTGGTTCAGTCTTTAACTTGGATTACTGGCAACTAACACAAAGTCATGTTCGTGAAGACACAACCCAATTAACTTATCCAATGAAAGTGCACAATCAAGATTTTATTCCTTGATTGAAATACAGATCAAGATATGTGGCAAGTTTCTTTTTCACAGTTTTCATTCCTCTTTTCCCTTTAAAACAGTCACTGGAGAGTTACAAAATTGTGATCAAATAACCAAGATATAATTTATTGTGAGTCGTAAAATTGTTACAAATTTAACGCAGTTTATATGAATGCAAATTGCAAAATATTTTACATTGAGTAATACTAACTTGTTTGTTTTTTTTTTCTTTTGATCAATTGCCCCTTCAAGCTGCCCCAACAGTGAACTCACCATACACTGGCTAGCTAGACTATGAGCATTCCCTCCTTATTGGCAAAGTCCATTGTGCAAGTCAAACTTTTTTTTTTTTTATTGGCGACCCACTTTACCTAAAAGGATGGACTACTCATAGTCTATAAACTGGCCTTCACAGTTACAAAGCTGAAATGGTATTACTGGATACTGACAATTCCAAACAAGGGTTGAATGAAGATACAGTACAACAGCAGTCTTATACCTTACTCTCCACAAATGTAGAAAGCACATGGGAATACATGTCTTCTTGACTGACAACTGTCTGGCACCTAAAGGAGCATAATTGCATTTAACACTGGGTGAATTGACTGAAAATGCTTCTCTTCTAAATATTAAATACATTTATATATTTACAAGACATTGAAAACATGTTTTCAGTAGTAATAGAGGGTAAGAGTTGTTAGGTAGCAATAGATGGGGGAGGGGGGGGAGAGAGAGAAGAGGGAAACAAAGGAAGCAAAGCAGCAAAGCAATGTCCATGTAAACCTATCTTGGGCCTCCCCTATCCCATCAGTAAAACCCTTGCAATAATTTGGTTTTAACCTTGTCCAAATTACCGTTCAACTGATATAGGAATATTACCAAAGAAAAGTTTTCTTGGAAAGTTAACCAGTAATTTAACTTGTAAGATATAAAAAAGAAAAGGAACAGAATTTGAGTTCACTAACCTAGAGACTTGTTTTTGGGGAGACTGACCCTTGGAGGCATCACTTGACTAGGAGAAAAACAAGTGCATTCTTCAATCAGTTACATATAAATACTTGGAAAGAAGGAGAGAAACTTCTGACTCATATCAAATAGGAATATGTTTTAACCTCAGAGAAGAGTTCTCGGATCAATATCAGTATCTGGGCAACTACCCACCTACCCCTCCCCTAACCCAACTTTAACCCTAACATGTTATCAATTGACTCTTGTTGAGTTAGGGGAGGGGTAGGTGGGCAGTTGCCCAGATACTGATATTGATCCGACTTCTCCATTATTTTTTCTCTTCCTATCAAATTTTTGCTGCTCTGTTATTCCTCCCTTCAAGTTCCTAAGATACATTTTCACCACTCCTCCTTCCTTTCCTGTCTCCATTTACTCTGTCTTTCCAAAGAAATTCAGTGAATGTCAACCTCCCATCTTCCTTCAACTCATTAGCCAGCTCTCCTTCCATTTCTACCCTCTTTGTTTCATCCAGACCTTGATGCCTCAGTCTACAAGTTTTCATTTTTGTTTTCATTTTTTTCCTACTCTAATCCTCTTATTCATCCCTCTACTTAATCTTTACCCACCCTGTGCACAGTTTTCCTGACTCCGCATTAGGTTCCTTCAACCTCTGTGCCCCTTAGAACAATCTTTCCTGACCATTTCCTCTCCCTGATCTTTCATTCTCCTAGCCTTTCCTTCTCCTGTCATCTTGTGATCATAACTCACAGGGGGTGATAACGGAGTCACCTTGAGAATTCATACAGACTAACCTGTTGTGCATTTTGTTCAGCTTCCAGTGCATAACTTCTGTAAGCCAAGTTCACCCTGTCAAACATGCGAGCTATGACTGGAAGGCTGCTCTGTCTCCCTGGAGTTAAGGCTGTTACGTGATGACAAAAAAAAAAAAAGGTTAATAACTATGCTGTCACACCTTGCAACAAAAAATAAAGCAATAATAAGCTAAATGGTAATTCTAAGCATTGCAATTGAGATGATTAAATACATTGGCTAAATGGTGTCCATACCTTGTTTGAAAACTGTTAAAATGACCATTTTGCTTTCTTTCCTTAGAAGTAGGAAGTCAATCAACAAGCCCTAAAAGATAAAAAAGCTCATTGCCAAATGGGTACAACATGCAACACTGATATTGTCAGTTTATATACAATTATTTGGAAATTTATTGAATGTGAAGAGTGGACAACAAGAAAATGACAAAATGATTCTAATAAACGAACTTAGCTGGTAACTATATACTACTGATTGGCCAGTTCAGATGTAATAAGCAAGTTCTATTCACCTCCGAGTAGCCAAAGAGACAAAATCTTGCATCAAGAGTTTCATTTACAAACATTTTAAGATATATTGACAGAAAAAACCTTTTTCTTGGTTATATGTGCAGTATATACTAAATAATAACAGTTATTCACCCAGTGTCATTGAAAGTGTTGGAAATTTACCTTGCACTTCATGTTTCAGTAAATACCCATCACTATTCAACTCCATTTTGGTAAATAATTGCCTATTAAATTGATTAACAACTATACAGGGTAAAGCCAGGAAAACAAACAAAACAAAAACAGAATCCCAGCTTCCATGGGGCTCAGACCCCAATGACTACAGCTGGTAACCCAGTGTCATGCTTTGTGCGATTTACAGCTTGAAATCAAGGGCGACTTACCTCTGTCAGTTACACCAACTGATATCTCAAATGACAAAAAATAGACAAAATAAGATTTACCTTGTCACCAATCATGGCAACCAAGGGCTCCAGCTTTATCATAACCTCCCACAAACAACCTGAGGACAAAACACGAAGCATTCCGGTCAATGGTGTTACTTGGAAAAACCTAAGGTTATAATTTCTTTTTTGCAGTCAAATGAAAACTGTAAAGCTAAGAGAAACCCTAAAGATGCAGGGGTATGCATCTACAAAAAACACCATTAAAAATTTGCATCAAGGTACATCCACGTCAAGAAATATTCTGACCATATCTCTCTCTCTCTCTCTCTTCCCCCTCCCCTCCTACAACAACTGTTACATTGGAAATCTCTCATATTTCTTTGTTAAGTAGTAGGAACCTTTATCTTAGTGATTAAACACTGAAAGATGCAACATTTCTTGGACCTATTGAAGTTGAAATACAAACTTACCAAGTTTAGCATCTATGATGATGTTTGGTTGAAACACAATCCAGTTTTGAGAGTCTGGAATCAAGACCTTGTTAAGAAACATATTGGTAATACACAGTTACAGGTAATTTATATCTATCTGCAAAATCCTGAAGTCTGATGTACGAGTCCTTGTGAGGGTCTAGGGGTTTTTTCCTTGTCCCAATTCCATAGCAAATAACATAATCCTTTGTCCAACAGCTGGGCTCAAAATTTACTATCTTCTCTGATCTCTCTTAATATTAATGATATAGAAAATATTCTCATCGCATGAGTCTGTTTTTGGATACACATTTCACAAAGTACCCTCTTCTTTTTAACTGCACCAGTAGAATCTTTCTCTTCTAAAAAATAAAACCACAAAGAAACAAACTTAAGACAATAAGCATCAAATCCACAAATTTTCCAACCCAACCATAGGGGCAATTGTACAGCAAAAACGTGTTGTTATCTTTCAAAAAAAATGACCAATTAACTCTGAACATGGCTTACCTGCTTCAAAAACTGCTTGTTCAAGTGGCAGAGGTGCTAGTACTGGTTGAAAGTATGTGATCTGTCCATCAAAATCTCCCCCAAGTCGAATATCAAACAACATAGATGTCTGCAAAGTCAGAACAGACATTTACTTTAGTACAAACCATATAATTTATTTATGCTTTATTTTAGACTGAATCAATGGAAATAATTCCACTTGAAGTTGACTCAAAAATTACCTTTGAAGCTTGATGATGGACAATAACAAGGTTATCCTGTGGAAAACAAAGCAAATAATGATTGATCTCCTTATTAAGGCTGCACCAGAGCATGGTCAGTCTTCCAAAGCACCTAGTTGGAAAAAAATGCTTCTAACTGATCCATACTAAGATGTTACAAAGAAAAATTTCACTGTGATGATAAAAATGCAAAGGAGCAAATGAGTCACACTTTCACAGTAACTGTGATGACAAAAAGTCATTCAGGAAACTCAGTTTATTTCTAACTTTCAGGAAATTCTTCAGCGTCTACTAATTAGTAGTTTAATATATACAATTAAGCTGATCCAACTAAAAGAGATTGTTTCTTCCTGTTTTATTTAAGGCTTTAGCTCATTTGAGATTTTATGTGCGAAAATAAAATATTCAAGTATGATATGAGTTTCAAAGCTAGTGATTGTGTAGTAAAAATATATTTACCACAACATTGACTGCAAATCTTCCAATCATGTTCAGTTGAAGAACAGCTACCTTCTTGGCTGGGATATCTCTACAATTAGAACACACATTAATATTATTTACTCTCAAATGACTGACCTACAGCAAGGTACATTCAACAAATAACATTTAAATAAAAGGGGTAAGTTTCTAAAGAAACTATGGTACTGCGTTGGTGGGAGAGTATAACAAGGTAATTTGTTATTATCAACTGAGTTGTTAATGTAAATTGGCCACTGTAAAGAGTTTAAAAGCTGATGTTTCAATTGTTAGCCCCTCGTCAGAGTGATGATCTGACAGATGGCTGATGCTCAAAACATTAGCTTTTCAACTCTTAAAGGTGGCCAATTTAAATAATGTTGTCTATGGCTTACCGCTGTAGCTGGTACAGAACAATCTCTGCACCAACTGGTCCTGTGGTTTGACTTCTCTGCTGGTTTCTGAGAATTACCACATAGAGCTGGCCATCTCTGAAAGAAAATGTGTAAAGAGTAATCTATGGAGCCTCAACAATCAATGTCATACTAACCCTTTACACCAGAACAACAGTATACATAATCTCCATACTGTTCTCTATACATTTCCTAAGGTGCAGAAAAGGAGAATTTGTTTAACAAACAGAATTAGTAGAGCTCTTTTACTTGTTGATCATTTCCTTTATTCTTGCGACCTGAAATGCTTGATTCTGGGGTGATAATGTAAGGAAAATTAGACGCTCGTCATTCTTTGGCGTAAAAGGGTTCAGGTTGGTTTCCATGCACTAACATTGGAGTCAGAGTCCCTATCACAAGCGCAGAGGAATATTATTCCATAAAAATCAAACTGATGGAATCAGAAGTCAGAGTTTCTGCAAACATAGTTTGTAACTAAGTCTATTTTGGAGTTGAGAGATGACTGACTAGTATGGATTTTTGGCTGGACAGTTATAACTCACATGTTTGCAAGAGTGACATCCCTTTCCAACAGTTGAACTTTCTGAGCTTTGGAGGCCGCAGGGATATCTACCTCAAACTTTGGTAACCTCATGACAGACCCTGCCTGTAGTGACATGAAACACAACAAAAATAATGCTACATTTTCTTTTAATTGAATTAATAAAGCCACCTATTCTTAGAGGGTCAGCATAAATTTTATATCAAACACCAAACTGCCCAAAACATATATAAAAGTGAACAATCAGCATTTCTGTTCTTCTATTAAATAAACATTCTGAGAAGATTTACTTCAATGATAATGATGAATTAAACCATTTGGGAATAAAACTCACCCTAAAGTGATATGGATGAATAACATTTCCAAGGCCCGAGGAAGACAACAGAAGAACAGCACTCTCAGGCTTCAGAGAAAGAGGATGAGACACTTAAGATTAGTTTGGTCCTCATCACTCTGAAATAATACATCAATAACTTATTTTAACTGCATTTGACCTGCACATGATCCTACTGGTATTCAGAGCACAGCCTGGAAAAAAAATCAGGATTTTTCCCAGAAATGAGCCCATACATTCCAAGGCCAGATAAAAGTTGGGAACTTCCACCAACTGAGCTAGAAAGAAATAAGTCAAAGATGCAAGGAAAATTTCAACTCACTGGTAGTAAAATGCTCATACACGCATAATATTTTGTCTTACCAGGAAGACAAACCAGTTGACTTGCACACTGTAGTTCTTAATCATCTTTAGGCTACGCTTTTCTGGTAATACCTTGGAAAGAATACCACAAAAAGGATTCATGATACAATGGCTTAGTTCATTGGTAAGTTGTAAGTTAAAAATTGACCATCCTCAATTTAAATTTTTGTAATTTTTCTACAGCTAGAGGAGAAAGGTATTCGACACTTATTTAATTAAATTACAGCCTCTACCTGATAAAATTCTAGACCTTGGTTTGTAATAAAGACAATTTCATTCAAATTTGTCCAGTTGAAACCAATAACATGGGCAGACTTGCTCTGTGAAGAGAACAAATAACAAAAGATCTTTATAAAAACAATTCATGTTTGTAGTTGGATCTCCAGCTGAGGTTGTGAAGGAGGCACAAAATAAGATCTTGTATGCTTAATGAGTAAAGCGATTACACCAGAAATTTATGCCTCATAGTTGGTCCACGTAATTCACAGCTGTTTGCTTCCTGCTATACAAAGTGTTGATCTTCTCATCAAAAAAAAAAAAAAAAAAGGAAAATAATAAAAAAACCCAGCTCTTTCTATTTTTTCCAGTAAACATCTGAAGACAGTGAGATAATGACTCCAATTATATAGTAGTGGCATTGTGGTCACTATGGTCCATAATAAAATGCTCTATACAAAAAAACCAAAGGCCATCATGATAAATGCAGACATCTAAACACAGTATCCACCACTGCACATGAAATTCTCCTATAAACCTGCACTTTAAGTGGTGTAAAGTTTAAAGACAGTAATTAAATATACCATACCTTACATGTCTGGCTATACTGCTGGCTATCAATTCCATCAGCAAAGTTAATGAACTCCTAGAAATAAATTAGATTCACAGATAGAATGCAAAGGAAAACAGCCCCTTTTACAGTGGTTTCAATAATTATTAAATATTTACATGGAGAATGCAAAATGAAACATTAAATTGAATTGAATTCCTTACCACGACTTTTATAGATCTCTGGATTGCTAATATCTTGCGGTCATAAGAGAATTTAATGGACTGCACGTATCCCATTGTTGGTATGCTGTGAATGCACATGATAAAATATATGATATAATCCAAAGGAAATGAAGAGAAAGGAAAGGAAGAAGAGGAAAAGGAAAGGGAAGGGAAAAGAGAATGAGTGATTCAACACCAACATATCTAATCTATTTGTCTTTCTTACTGTCAGATCCACAGGCCTAAGGCTAAAAATCACCTGGTTTGCATCTTATACAGTTAACCCTTTAACTCCCATGAGTGACCAAGACAGAATTTCTCCTTACTATATCTATACAATGTCATGTAAACAAGTGATGAGAATAAAGAAAAATATCAATTATGGGATTACTGAGTGATCTGATACCAAATTCTCCAAACAAACATAATGAGAATCATTTGGCAGACAGTAAGGAGAATTACTTAACAGATCTTGGGAGTTAAAGGGTTAACCATCTCTCACTTTAATTCCACAAACTTTGGTTTTATTTTGAAACTTAAATCATTTGTTTTCTTAAGGTCTAACACCTCCCTTGATCATTTGCAAAAATTCTTGGATTTGTCCCTTATGCATCTTTAGTGCATTTATTTTCTAATATTGCACAACACAAGCCAACAACATACTCGAAGATGACAAAAGACTTCAGATCAGGACCTCTGACTACAACACGGGTTTTTCCATCCACAGAGGTAACAGAGAAGACCTGGAAGAAAATGTTTACATATTCAATGGCAATAGAAATTATTTAAAAGAGAACTAGATTCCACAGCCATACATATGACCTCTCTTGGTCACAAGTTTGCCCATGAATTGGCAAATTCCCAACAGTACAATGTAAGTGTGGAGGCGCAGTGGCCTCATGGTAAGCGCGCCCAACTCTGGATCAGGTGGTCCAGATTTGAGCCCTGACCAGGGTCATTGTGTTGTGTTCTTAGGCAAGACACTTTACTCTCACAGTGCTTCTCTTCACCCAGGTGTACAAATGGGTACCAGCAAATGTGCTGGGGGTAACCCTGCGATGGACTAGCATCCCATCCAGGGAGGGAGTAGCAATACTCCTACCTGCTTCATGCTAAGAAAACTGAAGTTAAGCACCAGCCCCATGGGCCACTTGGACCCATATAAAGGCTTTTACTTTCTTACAATGTAATCCCAAAGAGCGAGAGAAGGTATGGGAGCAGGGGTGGTATGGCTAAAACATTAGTATTCTGAACTCCAGGTCAAGAGGTCTGGGTCCAAGACCTGGCTGGATCATTGTGTTGTACAAGATCCTTTACCACCACAATGCCCCACTACCCACAAGTATGAATTGGTACCCCAGAGATGTCAAGAAAAACCTGACAAAAATGCTGGTAGGGAGGAGAGGGTGGGGAGATGCAGTAATCTTTGATGGACTAACATCCTATCCAGGAGTCATGGGTATGATTACCTCTAGTAACTTCATGTTATACTTATCAGGACAAGTTGCAGTACTGAGGGTCAGTAAGTAGAAGAGCAGACTTTTCACTTTTTGAGCCCTGATCAATCCAGAGTCTGTAAAACCATGTATTTGTCCTCCATGTACTTAATTAATCATGAAAAGATTCAAAATAAATGTAAAATTTCTACCATCATGTGGTTCTGTTGCATTAGGCCTTCAAGAATTCCCAAAAAATAAACCAAAAATTAGTAGAGGTCTCCTTAAAAGAGATATCGAACCCAAACTACGACTCCTCATTTATATCCAAAAAACTCTTTTTGCCTTACCTGCCGGTTTGCTTCGTCAAAAAATACACTGTTTTCTTTGGTGACAGGCTCAAACCGGAGAGGATTTGGACAAAGCTGAACATAGTGGCCAGACATCCTAGTTACTTCCTCACTCCTTCGACGGATATTTCTTTAGAGCTGTTACTTTGTGATCATCTCAGCTTTAATACTTTGGCCAATACCTCAAACATTCCGCACCGAAATAAAGTATGTATAAACACGTCTATTTTATGGTAAGAGAGAGTGAAAAGAGAGCGCAGAAGTGCATGAGTTTCAAATTCTTAACCCTGCCAAGTGAGCTCCGCTTTCCGCCATTTTGATTTTGAGGATAGTGGGAGAATTTCTTTTCTCATCAGGTGATTTAATGGTCACGTGATACACGCTCTTTCCTTTCCACAGTGGGCGGGCGAATACTAGTTCATAGTGCGTGGTACTACTGCACATAAAAAAAGATCGAGCTACCTCTCAGATCTGACAAACGTGATTATTATCAAAACACCGAACTGTTTTCTGAATGGATCGCAGCTACGGAACTCCAAGATCTGTTGATGCTGTCGATCCTACTTCTTCGTATGATGCTTGGCCGACTTTACCATCTACCCGGTCGATATCCGAAACAAGCTCAAGGTCTCGATGCTTCTGCTGCCGCTTGCGACTATCTTGGACAGCTGTCAGCGTGGTGGAGATCGCTCTGATGATTGTCACTGTTGTAGCATATTATTTCCTTCCCAAAAAGTTTCTTGAAAGAATGTTACCGCTTGGAACAGAAGTAACCGAAGTGTCAGAGTGGATAATGCGAATGGTCGGAAGTATGGTTAGCGTGCAGGTCAGAAATATATACAATACCATTGCTGTTCTTTTATGAATCAAGAGTTGTTCTTGATTAAGAAATTAAAAGGACTTTCATGCGCTGTGCCAGTCACTGTATTAATTGAAATTTTGCAAAATTTAGCTCATAAAAATTTCATAAGGTTTATTAATGCTTCCGTATTTCGTTCGTGATATAGTTCGAAACTGAAAAATTTAGAAGCGAACCTCGCTCCAGATACCATGGGTTCTTACATAAATCGATGAAAAATGAGACTTTTTGACACTAATTGTTTTAGTTAACATTTCAGCCGAAAATTTTTTGGAAATATTTCACAAAGTTTCGACTGACAGCTTTTAAATTAATTTATGACCAGCTAAGGAACGCTTCCCTCCCTCTCTCCAAAACCCAAAACTCCAAACCCTCTAAGGCCAGTCACACGGGATATGCCCCATAACATATCATGTTTAAGAAGAGTACATAATTGTTTCACATGACTGTTTGATGCATCACTGAATCTATGTGTGGTATATCTGCATTTTATCTGGCAGAGTTACCTACAGAGGTCTCCTTTTTCCAGAGATGATTTCTTAAGGGAGGGGAGAGGGAGCACAGAGGGACAGGGGTAGAGCACTCAAGTGCTCATGTACAACTCTGTTAGCAAGATATTTGTCTTAAAAAAAAAGGCTTTTTTGGGGATTTATTGACTCCATCAGGGAATTTTAGAGTTACCTTGACTTAAATGGTAACATAATTGATGCATTTTGAAAACACCTTACTGTGGAGCATACAAAGTTAAACCCTTTAACTCTCATGAGTGACCAAGAAGGAATTTCTCCTTACATGCAATATCAACATAATATCAAGCAGACAAGTAATTAGAATAGAGAAAAATATCGATTTGGAGATTATTGGTTGATCCAATACCAAATTCTCCAATCTAACATTTTGAGGATTGTATAGCCTGCAGGCGGTAAGGAGAATTACCAGTGAGATCTTACTTACATTGAATTTTGATAGTTTCACAGAGTTGCATTAATTACAGCTATCAGAAAATTTCTAGTCAGAATATTCGCAAAAAATATGAATGGTGCAAAAATAAAAAATCTTGCCATTGCCTTTGAAGCAAAATCCACATGATGTTGCTTCTGGTGTTTGTTTCAGATTGTCCTTCTCATTGGTGGGATTGGCTGGGGCAATGCAGTAACCAGGAAAATCATCTACTGGGGAATGTTAACAGGAGACGTTCTGCTCGTCGCCATCCATGCAGCTTTTGTACACAGTACAGAATCCAACTGGAATGCAGTCAACTTGTCAATAGTAGTTTTGGCATCAACATTTGCTCTCTTCAGGATGATAACACTGATATGTAATCCAAGATGGTGGCTCTGGGTCCCAGAACCTAACTTCTGAAGTTTGGTTTTACATGAGACAGGCAGAGTGAAACAAAGAACATGATTTTTACAGATTATGTGTAATACCCAAATTTTATGAACTGCTGAAGTTGACAATATTCTTTCAGTTATCTAAGGAGCTATTTGTGACGAACATTCTAACCCTTTACCTCCTATAAGTGACCAGAAGAGACTTTATCCTTACAATTTCAATACAATATCAACCAGATAAGTGATGAGAATAAAGAAAAATATCAATTTGGGGATAATTAGTTGATCCAATACTAAATTCTCTGAACTAACATTATGAGAGTTGTATGGTTGACAGTAAGGAGAATGACAAATTTGATCTGGGAGTTAAAGGGTTAAGGAACTGTAAAAGTAGATGCTAATGAGACAAAAGTAGATTGTGAGTGCCTTTCAATTAAGTCACGTCAGGTACAAACAAGTTTTATTGTGACAGAGGCATCTGAAGTGGTGTATCAGGGTGAAATATAATGGAAGTTGTGTAGGATTGAATTCTGGTTGCATTAAACTGCAATTTTTTGTATCCTTCTGAAAGGTTGGCACACTATGTAGATCATATCGCAGGAACAGTTTTCCTCGTGTGATCTTCCAATTTCGCCAAAAATTTTGCCTATTTCAGGTATTCAGTTGTTATAATGGAGCATGATGATAAAATTAAATATACTATGATAGTGCCTGCGAGAAAAAAGTTGGAGATTCAATTTGGGTCCACAAAAGGAGTGAGGTTTGGGTTCTCTAGGTGATCGACAAAACCTCCTTCCTTTTCCGAGCTGAACCAAACCTCCTGCTTCTTTGCTCTGCCACTGCTATTGTACTTTTAACTTTACCACTACACTCCATTTTACTAACTGATAGCCTCGTACAGGCCACCTGAAATTTTGTTTCATGGCAAAATTCAGCATGGTTGTAGAGAGTTTTTACACTGCTTTACACCCTCTCTACTGCAGAAACAGGACTGAATCAATTAAAAATCTCTATGTGATATTGAGATTTTTATTCACATATTGACCCAACCTTCATGGAGCACATTCTGCTCTTTTTCTGTTGCATGTGTCTTTTGTGGAACAAGGAAAGAAGCTTGTCCCCTATATAGGGTACCAACCTTCTGTTAAGATTTTGGTAAAAGTTTAACATAATGAACCAATTAAATTCAAGTAACCTCTTGACTTATTTTGTAAAATTGTATCTTAATTGCTCAGAGTGATCATTATTTTACAAAGGAGCTAGTATTTTTGGTACTATGAAGAATACTTTTTATTTATGTTTTAATTAAAGTAGCACGTGTCAGTCCTTTTTAATAAATTAGGTCTGTCCTGATAGCAATATTTTAACTGCAAAGTATCACTTTTTCTGGTTTAGTAAGCTTTAAGGAATGATCTTTTGTCTTTTCAAACAAAGTAAGCAATAATGCCTAAGACCTTTTGATGACCAATTCTTTCATTTTGATGTAGTTTTGGTGTAACTTTTTACTAGGATCATTAACATCTCAGTACTGACCAGGTGAAGATGTATTTCAAAGCAATTCAAAAGGCTGTTGTTCGGTTGTATTACTGTCATGTCCATTAACAAAAATATTGAAATGTAAACTATTTTAATATGGCTTCACCCATAGAATAGATGGTTGTGAAATGTTGTGTTGAATGTGTAAATTGTCACAAGGAAGAACAATGAACTGATTGACAATGCTTGTGTTAAAGAGGTCTTAATCCTTAAACTTCCAAGATGTAATTCGTAACTCTCCCTATACTCTCTACACATTTCCTTGTAAACTAATGACAAGTGTTTGGTTCTAGATCAAGATTAAAAACTTGTACCTTATTAGTTTGGGTATTCTTATCACCTGCTTGCTGGACAATGTATGGATATTATAGAGAGAAGTTACTTGTTAATCACATGTTAGTTACATGTTTCATTTCATCTATTTTTTTAGGGGGTCCTTTAAAGATCAACAAGCTTTAACATCCTCCCCCCCCCCCACCCCCTCAAAACCAGGCAACCCCCTGGACATTTGAACCGGTGAAGATTAGTTTTTCATATTCCTGCCCTCTCCCACCCTCCCCCGTGCCAAAATTGCGTTCAAATGCCCCACACCGGCAATATGAACAATTCTTTGTGTGATCAAAGGCTACTGAGGAAGGTTCAGCAAATGACAACAAGTCACCACAATTATCTTTATTGTTTTTGATAATCACGTTACCCCCATGTACGACACCTCCACACTGATTACTGATAACTACGACCCACTTGTAATTTTTACTTAACACTGATATCAGTTAAACATACTACTTATATTATGCTACGATATGTTATGCTCCAGCAACGTCTGGTTAATTTTGCCTCAACATTATTTACAACCTGCAGAGGTACACGGCTGTGCCATCTCATTCTGTACAATTTCAACTCATTCCATGGCCTAAAGCCACTTAAATTTCGATACTTCGATCTGCAAAACAGAACCAATTGGTAGATAACGTAATCTTTGAGATTGTCACGCAATTTCCGCGATTAAAAGCTCCGATAGCGTGACCACCAAAAGGTCTGCAGAGCACCTTAAATAAATTTCAGGTACATTTAGCACCTAGAAAAAAAAAAAGGAATCCACAGGGGAAATTATAGAAAAAGAAATCTACATAAATCCTTCCTTCTCTAAGAATCGAGCAGCAGATCCACTATCTAAACGCAATGCACGTACATTTCAATTCCATGCTCAACTCTATTATCTAATTCTCGGGTCAAACCAGAGTTCTAAACTACAATTCAAAAGAACGACCTGCGCTAAAAAATGTAAGAATACAAACTATTTAGAAGCCATTTAGCCATAATTTGTCTGACATTCTCCATAAAGACCGAAGCCCGAAGCCACACCTAGCTAGGGGAAGCGGGGATCCTGGGGTGCCTGTTTTCCCCAACCCCCTCCTTTGTACGCCTTTTCTAAGCGAAAAACTTGTAATATTCAAATGGCGAAAACTGGAGAGGACCCTTAGTTTGACACTGTGTGACCCCCTGTTTGGCTTTGCTCCTGTCTTACCCCATGCAACGTAACCTAACTTCAAGTTCACATAAAATCAACGCTAAAAGAAGGAAGGAAGGTACTATATTTGAGGGAATATTTTCTTTCCCTTTTTTGTTCCCCATGAGATTTCTCATTGAATTCCATGCAACGAAAATAATTCCATGTTTCATGATTAGTATTTCAAAAGCGAAAATTAAATACTTATAAATAGAAATGGTGGATAAATACTTCAAATGAAAGATTTTGGCACGAATTTTTGTATTGCGACCCGTCTCAAACGTGTCAGCTTACCACGAACTTGATCAAATCAAAAAAGTCTTTGTAGGCGAAATTTTACTAAAACAATCCTTTTGGAAAGGAATACCTGCAAAAAACGGAAATCTAGCAGAAAAACTGATACAAAACTGAAAAAAAGGTAATAAAAATAAATTCCAATAATTGAATCTTGTAAGTATACAATATTTTTTTAACAAAATAAATGTTTCTATAACAATAACAGCTAATATTTAAACGGCGCCTACCTTGCACCTTTTTAAATAAACCTCATTCAACTAGGTTTTCTCTTAACTTATAAATAGATAAATAACTCGATAGCAGCCCAAAGAATAATTCAACGGTTGTCTTTGCCTTGTGCGCAGCTTATGCTCCGAATATCTTCTTCACAGTATAACCCTGAAGATAAACAAAAACGTAGAAAACCTTTTTAGTAAGGGTTAGCGAACTTTTATTACTACCGTAGATAAGATATTTTTTATCACGGAGAGATGAGTATGATTTGGGGGAAAATTGTGCGGAGGGAGGGGAGGGAAGGGGAAGGACGAAAGGGCTAACGGCGGAACGATTCAAGAAATTCTGAGTAAAATTCGCTTGGAAAACCCCGTTAGTTACTGACCTCTGCTGACAGCGGTTCAGATTTGAAACAAGGAATTGACCATTAACGATTAACGGACTTAAGGTTAGCTTTAAAGCCCATAGCATCGCGGAAAAACTGACCAAAAAAATCTCGTTGATTTAGACTTGTTTTTGTCCAACGTAAAACAAATTTTCATTGTGACTTCGATCACTATTTCCGCACCAACAACATTCTTTTTCTCTTGGGCTGTTCTAACCTAGACGATCGCATCAGTTTGATTACCACAAAAAAGGACCCTATCGTGAATGTATCATATTCAAAAGGGGCTCTTACAGGCATGGAGTAGAAGAACAAGCCCATGAGGGCCACTAGCAGTCCAATGACCAAGAACTTGATGAGGCACATCTTGTAGTTGTTCCACAGAAGATACTTCAGAGACTTGAACGGGTTCATAAACCAAGTGAAGGTTGAATCAGGCCGGCTACAAAGAACAAGACAAATCAAATAAGTACATAAATACTGCGCAGACGCGGAGCAGGTCCAAAAAAATTAATCAAAGTTCAATGGAGCATTATCTTACTTTGGTTTCTCTAAAGCCTGCGGGTCCTCACGCGCCCGTCCAGCGGGTTTCTTCTCAGCCTCTTCCTGAGTCAGTAATTCCAGTTCAGCTTCAACTTTGCCCTACCATTGAAATGAGAAACCAAACTAGTTAGAAAGTTATGAATATCTTAGTAAGAGTTCTAATTGTTGTAATAACACAAAGACTTGTCGAGTTCCTACTCGGCAACACCCTATCTAGTAGTCAGTTCTCAGCATCGCCTGCCATAAATTTCTTACAATATTAGCTCTAAGAATTGTGAGAATTTGGATTTAAATCATACAGCCTTATGATCGTATGGTAAGAAGAGCGGAGTAAATCGCATTAGGTGCATGATCTACCTCGAAACAAGCTAAGTTTAGATACGTAATGAAGAATTCGACCGATAAACGGAAGATTGTGGGGTCGCCAAGCATCCAAAAGCACGTGTTTTTTTTTTTGTCTCACACACACCTACTTCATACGGCTGTTTGGAGAAAAGTTGTCGGAAAAGGACAAGAGGGCACGCGAAAATCTCGAAAGATAATCCGGGTATCTATGAATTTTTATAAGTCAATTAACTAAAGAAATTCATCCAACCCGCTATGCCTCAGCCTTACAGTGACCTTTTCTCACATTTCCCTGAAATCCTGAAGTCAAGGAACCGTGACCTGAAAACTACCCACATTACCTTTCGGGATTGTCGAGTGTACTTTTACGCTTTTTTTCCGACAACCATTTTTGAAACAGCCCGAACTGTGCTGTTTCACTTTATCAAGCATGAAACCAGAATCGACAAAAAATAACAGCCATACTTCAGCCTTTTTTTACACTAAACGACCAAGATTACAGACTCTGAACTTACGGCCAGTTCAGGCACTTCCTCATCAGTGTTGACAGTAAACGGCCAGAATCCCTTTATGTGCTTGATTTTGAAGAAAGAGATCTGGGGCACACTGCCGTCTTGTTTGAGTAAGTCTAACGTGCAAGTCTTAGCGGACTTCGCTCCACGTGGCATGCGCGTGAGGTCAAGCGTCAGATCACCTGTTGAACACAATATGACAGTTTTTAAGATTTCTCGACTGTGAAATAATTGATTGAAAATCTCAGGCCATTTTTTTAACCAATAATATCTTAAATGGAAGACCAAGCCAATTGCGACTAAGACGGGAGCATTTTCCCGCGCTTAAAACCGGTCACACGCTCCTGAAGCGATTTCTGATTGGCTCCTGGCATGATTACGTCTCTAATGATCGGCATAACAAACAAGTTCTTTATAAGTTTACAAACTAAGAATAGCTCACTTTTTTTAGAAATTTACTCACCAATGAAATCGTCAGCTGAGAAGGCGTCCGCATCCCACACTTGGAGATGCAGTCTGGCAGGAACTTTCTCCTCTGATTCGTCCCAAGAGAAGAAACTGGCCTGTAAGACAATAAACAATAAAAAAAAAGTGAAGACACAATCCCCTCAAGTAAGCTTCAATGAAAGAAACTGTAGAAAAAGCCAGCACAAAGCCAGGCTCCGGAGGGATTCGAACCCAGGCCTCCCAGATAATATTGGCCGCTACTACCAACTGAGCCACGACGCTTCATGTTGGGAGCGAGACGAGTCTAAGTGAACGAAATAAGCTGTACTTTTGACCTCCGGAGGTTAAAAAGATAATTAATTCCATACAATACACAATCAAATTTAAAATTTGGGCAACGTAACGCTCATTCAAATGCTACAATACAGAGACTTTCTTAGAGATTCAATGTTAAAAGAAGCTATCTTGGAGCAAGATTTCCTTACTTATTTCTTTGATGTATTTGAGGGGTGGCACATAAGCAGAACAGAACGTTTATGCATGAAAAACGTTTACCTTTCGAGTAATAACAATTCTTTCTTCTGCCTTCTGGTACTGGAATGGAAAGATGAAGCGCCAGTTGAAATTGCCTTCCCCGGTGAGGGACCTGTAATGCACATCTGTTTGTTGCTTGTCCTCTTTCATTCCCTCAAGCCAACCTTTGACAAAGATGTCACTGCATTTCTCTCCTGTCAGGATGTTGGATTCCTCAAGAAGGACATCCTCCGTGTTCCAGATAACCACTCGCAGCTCATAACTAATAACAACACAAACGTTGCCCCGTTATTTGAAGTTAGAAATACAGTTTTCCTTCTTTGGATGACGGTTTGGTCTCAAGTAAAAAATTCTCAACAAAAACTGGTCTACCCTACTGGAATCAAGTTACTCTTTGATAATTAATTTTACACTGTAACTTTCAAATTCCCTCCGAACGTTGTTTAATTGCCAGAAGAACACAAACTGGAGCGCACGTTTTCACTCTTAACCTCCAAAAGTAATTGAAACGCGACTTGAATTCTCCTCACAACGTCGATACGTTATCCAGCAACCAGTGAAGAAAATACAAGACCTATCAGCTATCACCAGATTTTCCTCCCTATTTTTCACTAAATTACATAAAAGCTAGTAGGGATATTGGAGGTGAAACGACTGAGTGCTGTCCTTACGTTGTTGGTTTCCTTGGAGTAATGTCCACAGGAGCACCAGGAGAAGGCATGTCCATTGGGAACATGTCCACCCACATCTCAATTTTACCCTAAAGACAGACGTGAAATATCGGTACTTAATTATACAATCTATTAGTTTATTTTAACTCTCATAATATTATCTAACTAGCCTCGTTTTCTCAATCCGTAGTGCAAGTTTGAGGAAACTCTCCCGATAATTAACAGTGCAGACCTCAAACGCGGTTTTTATCTACTAAAGAGAAGATGTATTGGAGATATCTGGTCCCAAAAAGCGACCTCGTTAAAATCGCGGTTTTTGTTATGTAGATATATCTGAAATGGTGGGTTCTAATAAGACCGTTTTCTCTTGTCCTACATCATTTGAATGAATTTAGTTTTGTTTTTGGAAGTGTAATGTCTTCTCAATCAAGGTTCGCTTGATGAAGATGTTCTATACTTCGCTTGGTCACCATCTTAAAGTAAGATTTTTTCTCGTACATCACGATTTCATTGTAGAGAAGAATGAATGAAAATAGCAGTAACAGAGCACTAACCTGCTCCACTCCAGGTTTCTCTGGGTTGTACAGAGACCGGGTCTCCACATGTTCTGGCACCAGATTGAAGCCTCTCTTCAGCGTATGGAAACCACGCAAGGCTTTCAGAGCAACAGGTTCATCTGACTGTTTGAAATGACCTACAAAACGAACACAAACCTACCCAATGAACCACAATAAAGCATACGAGCTATTTTAAAGGGCAGAACCATCAAAATGAGTGCAACGCCGCGCAAACTAGAACAAAGGCGTTCACCATTTAAAACTCGTTCACAAATTTAACGTAGCTCTGGCCTCTACGTATAATGTTTTTCTTTTCTAGCAAAAAAATTGCAAGATATTCAGTAATAATAAAAAGAAAACAATCGAGTCTATTTTTGCGTTATCAACACGAGACAAAGAAAGAGTTTTCTCCTCTTTCACGCAAGTGATGCACTTTTGTTTTGATAAACTGTTTTGTTAAGATTAGGATCAAACACGTTGAACGGTGTTTGGGCATTTACTCGATACCGCTATTTTATCATCAAATGATACGGCAAAAAATTTATACTCCATGAAAGTAAGCATACACGTAAACTGTTAAGTGCAACCTTGACAGTCTGCGCCCATTTGAGACATTTCGCGGAATATTTTACAGAGACAACACCTAGTCTTTAAGGTCGAGTGTCAAACAGTTATGGAAAACTTGCAGGAGAGAAGATAGGGAAAAAGAAAAAGACACACATACCACTTTCCTCAAGAACTTGTGAAGTGGCGCCAAACACTTTATTGTCAATTCGAACTCTTCCCGTGGAGTAATGAGGTCCGTCCAGACCCTCATCTTTGCAGATCTTAGCAAGGACCTGGGTCGGGCGCATTGGGTCGCGCCATTTGTTGAATCCAAATCTTTAGGTAGAAGAAAACAATACCGTCTGGTATTACATTGTGTTTCTGTAATTGACGACATAACGTCGGTTTTCCCTAACTTCTATGTCACTGACACAAACTTTTGTCCCCACTCAAGACCACAGAGAGAGTTGAATATCGGACAGTTGAAAAGGACGCCTGATCAAATACTGAGGGAGAGGGGGAAAGGGGAATACCTATAGTGGACTGGGACCTCACTCTGCGGGAGTAGCAATATTCGCAGCAGTGTCAGTATCTGAGCAACTCGCACCTATCCGTTCCCCAAAAACAGTCGACCGACAATTTAAGGTTAATGTTGGGTTAGGGGTTGGGTAAGTGCGCAGTTGCTAAGATACTGACATCTGTCCGGTACTTCCATAATTATTGGCTTGATCGCTTCTCGTTATATTTTTTGTAGCAAAAAGTATTTTTCTGCCGATGGAAATCCTGATTATGAAAGGGATCCAGTAAAATGACGAAAAAAACTTAACACTCACGTTGCATAACTTTCCTGCAAACCACACGTGGGTCGATGTTTGCTGTAGAATCTGTTCTCCAAGTCGACTTTGCTCTCCCCAATGAGGTCATCACTTCCAACTAGATCCCAGTCATACACGCCAACAGTCAATACTGAATCCATGGGGATGATCGCCTCGAATTCAAAGCATCTGTAAGCGTAAAAACATTTCAGCATTTCACAGTTGATGCCATGACACATCACAGCACACACATCCTATCATGTGATCACACGTCATGACACATCACGTCACATCATGAAACAGTACGTCACGCCACATCAGAAACACATCTATGACTCATAAAATTTACAAGATGACTAAAATCCTCTTGTCCCATACGACAACCAAAACCATCGCTACCATTCATGAAAGCTGATTGAAGTTGGCAACTTTTAATTAAACGTCAAAAATAAACCCGTATTGTATCGGTTTGGCTTTACATCGCTCTGTACGTGGACCAGAAGACTCGTACCACTCTCTCAACCAATCATATGCTCTGTAACTGGGGTGGAGATCTAACACAACCCTCTTAACCAATCAGATGCCGAAATGAAATCACGTGCGACTTGTCCATTGCGGTTTTCCCGCTTTTCAAGCAGTTTGCTTTTGAGCTTTTTTGAGCTCCTAGTGATATTTTCTTTCATTTCAATGGACCGTTGTAATTGCTCTGATTTTGGTATTAGGACACTCAATCGAAAAGCGCTCTCATAAATGTATCGTTACCTTCCAAACACAGGATTGAGCTGCTTTGACACATAATTATCTCGGTCCCTCACTTTGTGTTTTCCGAGCGTAACCACTAGATAGGGATCAGCCTGAAAATTAACAACATAATCACATTATTAGATCACTTTTTTTCGTTTCTTTACGTGATGGTTGTACAACCTTATTGATTGTTCAGTTGAGCTGTACAGCAAAAAAATTACCATAGCACAAACTCTCGCTCACCTTTCCATTCACATCTGAGGGATGCAGATTGACGGCCTGTAGAGATTTAAAAAGAGCAGCAGGACGATCAAATTTGAGAAAAAATGAGGTACTAAAAATGACAACCCAACTGAAAATTAGGAAAGTGTTCAGTTAGGCAGAAAATTTACCATGCAAAAGAAGGTTTGTCTATGGTGACGTACCTTGATGACGTAAACCCGTACAAGCACATTGACAGGCTCATTGCTGGGCAACTTCAGGAATGTCCCAACTATCGGGTCCATTTCCACGTGCTCAGGCAGGGGGTACTTCCACACTTTCAGAGAGCCCTGTAAAAACGGACCAAACGAGTAAGGACCCTAGTTGAGTCAGTTATTTCCTAAACACCACGCGTACAAGTTAAGCATTCTAAAGGATAGCAGTACCTTAAATTTCCCCACAATCCTGTGGTCGTCGTCATCATCTTCACTTGTCTTCTTGCCGCGGTAGAGTGGGAAAGAATGAAGCCAGTCGTTGAAGCCGTTGTACTCTAGCAAATTTTCCAATTCTGAGTCAAAAATCTGCCATAAAAAAAAATCACACAACGAATATTTTTCATTTTGTGTAACTTGATAGTTGAAAACAACTACATTAATGTATAGCAACACTATAGTAAGGTTAGTAACCAATACTGAAGCAGCGTGACCTGGACTCCCGCGTGAACCTGAACTCGCGCATGACTCTGAACTCGCGCGTGACTCTGAACTCGCGCGTGACTCTGAACTCGCGCGTGACTCTGAACTCGCGCGTGACTCTGAACTCGCGCGTGACTCTGAACTCGCGCCACTTTCTAAACAAATCAGATTCAAAACTGAACCAACCGCAGCTGAGTCATTCGCATTTTCCCGCACTTTATGCAGTTTGTCCTTTTTTTTCGTTGACCTTTTATCGGCTCGCTGCGACGCTCAAAAAATCGCCCCAAACGATTTTCTCACCGTTAGCCTGGGAATCTTCTTCTTCAACTTCTCTTCCTCTGACTCTTCCTCTCTCTTGTCTTTCTTCTTTGAAGGCCTCGATGATTTCTGTTCCTCATTCCTCTCATTCCGTTCACGATCTTTCAGTGTCTCATAGTACCGTGACCACCAGTCCAATGCATCCTCGCCGTCATCATCCTCTTTACCTTTGCCTTTCTCGCCTTTCCCCTCACCTCCCCCTCCCTCGGCCTTCTTCTTTTTCTCCTGCAGCTCAGATAATAAATAAGACAATTCTAAGTGTTAGGTTGCATAACAAGATTCTTTTCAAAAAGGAGGTATGACAAGATCATGATTTAAAGTCCTTTCATTAGACACAGATACTCGCCTTTAAGATCAAAGTTCGCCGTTAAAGGTTGATGTAACGAGACCTACGATGGTCAAGATGAAAGAGAGACCAGCAACCGGTTTTCCCTTTGGTTTCCTTTCGTTAAGATTTTTTGCCATGGCGGGTAGCAACTTGTACGTACGGACGGTCACATAATAGACCAAATTTTTCTCAGCATGATAAGTTACTACCAAATTTTATGGGTATGGTGCACCAGTGAATTGATCAATCGCATTATGGTGAGATATATTATTGAAAACAAGCAAATGGGAAAATTTCTTGCAGATCTTTCTGATCTTGCTTCCCACTCGTATGCCTCATAACATCGACCTTCAGAACCGACTTAAAGAAACACAGGGTTTAAAAGGAACGGTTTGAGAATGAGAATTTGTTGCTGAAGAAAAACACGAAAAAGGAAATGATGAATCATAGAGAAATAAGAATGGCAAGGATGAAGAAGACAACAATTTACAGACAGCACCCATGCATGAATCCAAGAGAGTAAAGAGTACGATAAAGGGAAAGACGCAAAATACTCGCTCTGAAAAGACTCAAATTACAGTCGTATGGCAAAGGATCCCTACAAGAATGCGTAAAAAGTTTACAGGTATTGATGAGCGAACAGACGAATATAACGACGAATACCGCGATAAAGACAAGGTTAGTGGACAAAGATTCACGCAAGACTGCGAAAATTTTCAATGTGACAATAACGCCAACACAGCTATAATTGAATTGATACATAAGTCAGTGTGCTTCATGAAAAACTTGAAGAAGTAAATGAAATTTTTTTGTACACAGCAGCAGTGACTTATGAAAACAAGTTTGACATAAGGAGTTAACAAAAGGAACAATACGCTCACCTTGAGTGTATAGGCATAGAGCTGTGATGAAGGCGATGATAGAGAAAGAGAAACAGCGCGTGAATAAGATGAATGACAAGAAGAATGATGAAACACAAACATGTACATAAAGGGTTTTTTAAGAACTAGGGGAACTCTCAGATATCACAGCCGTTGCAGAATCGCTCAAAAGAGGAATGGGTCAACAGAACTATGTTCTTTACTCTTCAAATTAAGGGATCAGTGCTCAGTTTAACAGACATGGCTGGACACGTCCCAAGGATGCCATTGACATACAGAGAGAAAGGTTGTAGAGGCTTTCTTTGGGACTAGAAAAAAAACTGGAGAGCAAGCGTACAAGCCTGCCTCACTACGTGAGGAGACAAGAGAAGAAAAGAAAAGCCGTGAAACCAGAGAATCAACGAAGAAACCTTCAGTGAGAGTTTTTGAATGATGCATCACGAAGGAATGACATAGCATTTAAAGAGAGGTGACGATAAAGACAAATGGAACGTGAATGATTAACCCTTTCACTCTCAAGATCTGATTGTCAACTCTCCCCTCTAGCTGTTAAACATCTCATTGTAAGTCAGTGACCAGAATTTGGTGTTAGATCACGATACTAACTTCTACCCGATAAGTTTGAATATTCTCATCACGTGTTACCCGGATGATGTATGGATGTTACAGGGAGACGCTATATGCTAATCTCTTCTGGGAGTTAAATGGTTAAAGTCACCAAGACAAAATTATAGGTTACTCCACGGTGCATTCAAAATTTTCCTTTAAAAGAACTCAAAACTAACTTTCTAGGCCATGTAGAAAATTGGCTCCTTCTTGGTGCAGAAGACAAAGGACACGTCACAATAGAACAGCGCCTCATAAACTTATTGCTGTCATTGTATTACTCGTTCTTTTACCGTTTTGTTCCCCATTGTTTTACGTCAACTGAGCCTTCTACACCGAGTAAAAGCCATGACAAGTTAGGCTTATCAGAACTAAAGTATAAGATGAACTGATCTAGCAGCATACCAGAGGCTCAGAATCCGCAGCATCAGGAGGATCCTCATCAATCTCTATTGCCACATCAGCCGGTGCATTGGGAACTGGCGAAGTTGGACGAGAAGTAGTGTTCCCTACTCCTACGACGGCTTCTGTTGTGGAATGAGATTGAAAGTCACCAGTTAAGATCTGTCATGGGCTTTTGTTAGAGATACTACGGTAGACCTTCTGCATCTAGAAAAATCAGGCCTAACGTTTTGAAGTTCCTCATTGACACCATCTGTTTAAACCTTTTCCATCCTTATCCATTGTGGTTTATTCTTGTGTTTGTAACTAGCTCTTTTGTGTTTTTTTTCCCCGAAAATTAAAGGAATGTCCATTCTTATAACATGTTAACATCCTGGTACGTTCCTAACTTGCAATATGCCGCTGGTTTAACCCCCCTCCCCCTCCCCCTCCCACCCTGTTCCCGTATGGAAAAACCCCCGCCCTAGCCTTAGCACTTCCAGGGAAAAAATACTTACGAATACATGAGATTGTCTGACCTGCTTTCTCCAGTTTCTCCTTCTCTTTCTCTCCAGTCTGTAAGTAGCGGTGTAGTGAATTCAGGACATGAGTCCCAACCAGTGTAAAGCGACCGAATGTACGACAGTCTCTAACACGGATGGTCAGCGGTGGGCAATAACGCTCATTCTCAGGTAGTTCCTGTGGCAGTGGGAAAATGCTTACAATTAATGTTGTAATAGCAAAGATTGTCAGAGTGGAAACACTCGACACGGTCGACTTAGGGCAGCAAAGTTAGTCTCTCCTTAGAGAAAGCGTCATCATTTTGAAAGTATTTTTGAATGTCGACAAGCCTACACAGCCTGCAACACATCAACAGTGATATTGTTTCATAAATCAGTCCGGGAGAATATCTCCCGAACCCAATAAAGAAATCAAAATGTCTCATAATGGTGACCACAGATAATGTGAATGTTATGGAAAAACTTGAAAACACTTTTTTATTACTTCCTTACAGAGCGAAAATTATAAACTCCGATTCAGGTATGAAAAAGGTTGTTAATAAGTTGGAGTTGGTTGTCTTGAGTAGTTTGTTTCCAAAGTATGTTTCCATGTAATAAGAAACTGTTGATACCGTACGATTGAATTGGAATGTAAGTCCAAATTTTTTAGCTTAATGGGTTACTACTAGTTCCTATAAGTATGGGGCTAAGCTGCACGCGTTTCGCGCGCTGCGAGCTCCGCTATTATTAAAGGAGAGGCAAGTGGTGAATAAACTCATTCTAACACTAAGATCACAGCTCTCTTACCACATCAAAAAAGATGACTGGGTTCTGGAAGTTGGGATTTTTCTTGGCATTTGTGATGACAGTGGATTGTATAACATGACCAGCAAGATCGATGTCCACTTGAGGTCTATCCACTGTGGTCAGATTTATCCTTTTCATTTCACGGACGCCCCAGAACAAAGCCTACGAAATAAGGAAAGATGCAGTTCATACGCTAGGATGACACATGTGTTCGTTTGATCGGTCATGAAGTTATTTGTTCGGTCCTGTAAGTTAACAGGTGGGTCGGCAATTAAGTCGTCCGTTCTTTCTGAATTCCTTTGTTTGTTTGTCTGTTCCTTGCTTCATTAGATTGGTAAGTCAATCCGTCGGTCAAACGGTCCGGGAATGGTCGGTCGGTCAGTCAGTTGTTTCGTCGGTCAGACAGTCAAAAGCTTGGTCAGGTTAGTGTATCAGTCAGTTGGCTAGTGCGTCATATAGTTAATCGGTCGATGGTCAGACAGTCGGTTGGTCATTCCGTCATAGGTCATTCCATCATTGAGTGCACGAATTTGATCATTGGTTTCACCTTTCCTTTACTCTGGTACTTCTTCCAACCTTCACACACTCAATAATTTGTACCATCCTTTTCACCTACATAGGTTAATTTCTAGGCATCTATTTTATGTCACAAAATCAACTAAAACAACTTTTTTACTTCAGAAGTGTAAATGTAAAGTAACAGTACCTCAATTCTGTGCTTCCTCATAACAGGCCTAATGCCGTCAGGAACGGGTGTGATTGGTCCATCAGGAGTGTTGACAGGTTCGACTTCAGTAGGTAAGAAGCATGTGCCCTCAGATAGCTGAAGGGATACAAAAAGGAAAGGACGGATTTGAAACTTTCTCAAAGTCACCCCCCGACTCCATGAACCATAGCAAGCAAATAACGCGCTTTTCGATTGAGTATCGTAATACCAAAGCCACGACACAACAGCCAATCACAAGTAAGTGAAATATCACAAGGAGCCGATGAAAACTCAGAGTGAAAAGAGCACACTATCTGAAGCGCGGGAAAATGGGTGTCACAAAAACGCGCTTGTTTAAACTTTTGCATTTGATTGGTTTAGAAGGCGGTTCGAATTCTCTCGACCAGTCACAGAGCGGAGAAAAACAAAAGGAATGCACTCCTGTATCACTTTCGACACCTAATGGAAAATTGCTCTGTTTACTGCCCCTTTCAGCTGCATGCTTCTTCGTGTAATGTGTTCCAAAATGAAGTGTCCTTTTCATATGAATTATCCTACCCCAACTCCCAACGAAAAGACGTTACCGTGCAATGTTAACTCCCATTGTTTAGGTGTTGGCCACTTCGGCTCTTCAGAGTTTAGGGAAAAAAGTTATTTGAAACATGCAAAGTAGACTAGGGCGATATCAAGAAACGGGGAACTGTATTGCCAATTTTGAATCCGCATATTGCAGCCCATGCACCCAGCCTGATTCTTAAACAGGATGTGATTCGAATATGAGAAGGTGAACTAATTTACCTGCAGGAGTTCAAATGCAGCTAGTAGTTCTCCAGCTTTCTCCTCTCCTCTGAAAATCTGGAACCACTCCAATGCTGGCGGAAAGAACGGCTTCTCGTAAGGTTCACAAGCCATCTTTACAATTGGTCTGGCCAACGCACGACCAATGAACTCAGAATCACCCTAATGAGATAGGAAGTTGCAAGGCTGGGTAAATGACTGATTAACCGACAAACGGATAACTGACTGACAGGTTGACAGCCGGATAGGCCGACAGAGACAGAAAATGCACACAGAGAGACAGACTGGCCGACAGACAGAAAGATACACAATCAGACAGAAAGACTGACTATCAGACAGAGAGACTGATAGAAAGCTTACTGAAAAACAGACAGACAGGTAGATAGACAAGCAGGACCAAGAGGCACAAAAAGATAGATTAAAAAACTTACTCCAATATCTTTGTCAAATACTTCAACGACAATGGTTGGAGGGTTGACGGCAATTTCGTTAACATCTCCCCACAGAATCAAGTCTCTAAACACCAGCATCTGGTCCCATGTTGGACTCCTTGTCTCCCAGATCACTCGGGTGTCAGCCACAAGGTGTGTGAAGATCACTCGGGCAAAGGCATCTGCCATGAAAAGGTGAAGTGAGGACCAAATTAAAGGAAACCGCACACGTAAGTCTTAAAGTTTCTGTTTTGCACAAGTTGAAAGTGTACTAAGTTGAGCGTCTCGCAATTAAAAAGAACCCTTCATCTAGTACCGCCGTCGTTGGCAAAGGGTTTATTTGCTTTCCCTAAGAAACCACCATGGGCAAAAACTAGCAGGTGAACGTAATTCAGTATATGGATTGAACCCGAGGGTAACATATAATTGTATGGTCTTACCGAGGGGAGAAGGACTTTGGTCGGTAGGAGTGACTAACAACCTGAGCGGAAGTCATCCGAATGTTATTGTTACCTGAAAGTCCAGATGCATCACTGCCAATCAAACTTCTCGCCTGGTATGTGTGTGCTCGCAAAAGGAACTTCTGTTTTTCTGAAAGAATTGATAATAAACACATGGTCTTAAAATCTCATTTTTTTTCCATGAGATACTAAATGCTGTTCATGTCACGACAAGATAAGTTTTTTTCCTTGCTCCATTACCTGTGTAGATAAGGTGATTTGGCGGAGGGGCCATCAATTTGTGAGCGTTCTTTGGCTGCAAGAGTAAAACACAAAAGATGTCTCCGTTGATTCAGTTCAGAAGGCATGAGTCAAAAGCTCACACATTCTCTCTACTGTCGGCGACGACTAGTTCACAACTTTGAACACTAAAACTAAAGGGCCGGGGAAAGGGGGTGGTGTACTCAGAGAGGGAGCTTGAAGGATTTTGGGGGGGTCACATGGTGTTCAGGGGGAACGGAAGGGGGAATCAGTTGTTGTCAACAGAGTATAGAAAATTGACTGCCAATGAACAGCCAATGAGTGGGGATTAGAGCCTTAGAAGGAAATCAATCAGATTTAAATCACACATCAAAATCCTCCGACCCTCACTCTCCCACCCTCCCCCCCTCCCAGGTGATAAATAATGACTAGTTTCTAAGGGGTTAAAATTATTGTTGTGTCACTTCCTAATAGCGAGAGCGCTAAGACTATCATACCGTCTGGTATCCTTTCGGGGCATCTTTCAGATAATCCTTTTTGTGTTTGTGCAGACCGAGCCAGATCATGATATTCAGTTTGGCCTGAATAGCCCATCCTTTAGGTCCGTCACCACGCTTGCCAGGAAGCTGGAAAGGTAGAAAAACAACAACATTCAAAGTCTATTTCCCATCTGCCTGATGCCTGCATTTCGAAAATGTGTCGCAGTGAAAGTTTCTCCACATGGAAATGTGTTTGTTAGCTCAGTCTTTATACCACATACTCATTGTAGATGATCAGAAATGGAGGCTTCGCTTAATACGTGCGAGGGTTCCCTATGCTTCCCCTAAGTGATGACGGAACGTTCGACTTTCCGGATCAATAACAGTATCTGAGCAACTGCCCAACTACCCCTTCCCTAACCCAACATTAACCCTGATTTGTTATCAGTTGACTGTTGCTTGGTTAGGGGAGGGCTAGGTGCGCAGTTCCTCGGATACTAACATTGGTCCAACGTTTTTGCCACTGAGGGTTTGAATGTCTGAGCGAGACCGCCCACCAAAGAACCAATGCTTTTTTCGTGGGTCCTACTTCACTGTGCTTTCCCTCGCTCTGTAATCGGTTCGTAAAATTCGCACCACCCTCTTAACAAATCAGGGGCAAAGCCAGAACCAACCACGCCTTCGTCTCACCCGTTTCGTCGCACCTCAAGCGGCAAACGACTTGTCGTTGGGCTCTCTATGGTATTTTCCTTTCCTCTGATTGGCCGTTTTCATGACTTCAGCATGGATTACAAGCCTTTCAAAACAGTGCTTTAAACAGAAAGTTGACTTACCCTCAGAAACACTGTCTGCATTCTGCCTGCATCTTTTCCTCTCTCTTCTTCCACTAAGGAGTAGATTATGTGCTGACTGGGAATGCGGGTGTAAGCCACTCGTTTGCCTCCACACAGCATCCAGATGAACACATCAGGCGTTGTTTCTTGTGGCTACAAAGAGAGAGCCAAGCTCCTAAGTACAGCTTAATTAAAGCCTCTAACTCAGTGTGGAAGGGTTAGCTCTTATTTTCATCACAGTCTCCTTTAAAATCGATAGAGCAACGAGGCGCTTTTTATTTATTTTGTATTAGTGTTGTTCAGTGCTTTTATTGGTATTGGTTCAACAAGGGGAAATACCACCGTTGTTTCAGTTAGCCCCCCTGGTAAAACAAAGTTTGTTGATGTGTGAAGTTTCGGTTGCTACTCCAAACCCTCTTCCGCTTTTAAAATGAAAGTCAAAAACGCTGTCCCAGTCGTTATAAAGATAAAAATTAATACTGAACTTACGGAACCTTTTAATTTACACATAATCAAAGCATTTAACGCAATTTCTCTCCTGGAAAAAAAATTTTAGTCATGATGAAAGAACCTGTCAGAAGCGCCCAGCTAACATATTAAGCCATTGTAGTAAGTTACAGGATGTCATCGCATAAAAGTGTCTGATGAGGGGAGGGAGGGGGGTGGTATAAACCCCAGGACCCTTTCCTTACATCCACAACTGCAAAAGATTTCTAATGAAGAACAAAACAGCATACCTCAATAGCAATGTTAAGAAGTCTTTGAAGAAGTGCGTTGGCAGCCTTGAGATTGTCTTTGATGTGACCATCATCCCTTGTGCTCCCCTTCAGCTCCTGCGCTGACTGACACACAGACTCTACCTCGTATTGACACAGCTTCAGTCGCTCCTTGTCCAGCTTGGTGCGTCCAACATGAGAGGAGGATGGCATAGACTTCACCAGATTGAGATATTGACTGTAATGGAACAGGAACGTTAAATTTAATGACACAGCTCCTCACAAAAAGGGCTGAAGTGGTGGAAATTTTTATTTAATTTCAGTACACAATCAAAACAACGATAGTTTTTGTCAATTGTGAACTGTTAACTCTAAACTGAAATAAAACATTGCTCCAGAATTTCTCCTCGTGAAATCTGATCAAGTTTTCCCAATTTCGCTCATCTATACTTCGTTTTGCTTTAATGATCCTCTTGACTAATTGCTTTGTCCGCAAAAGATATCACAATATCAAAACCAAAGGTCAGCACTGAAATTCTCCTAAATCCTATGTCCGACTACATTGACCCCTAAGAAAAAGTACGCAATCTTTACATGAAATATCAGTCGACAACCATGCTGAAGTATGACTTTCTTACTTGCATCTGTTGATGAGTTTTGCAAGACCCTAGTTTGTGGATTTTGGACTCCAGTGTTCGATTTTTTATTTTGGACCCTAGTAGGCAATGTTGTATTTGGACCCTAGTGGCCGACTTTCCATTTTGGACCCTAGTGACCGATTTTCCATTTTGGACCCTAGTGGCCGATTTTCCATTTTGGACCCTAGTGGCCGATTTTCCATTTTGGACCCTAGTGGCCGATTTTCCATTTGGACCCTAGTGACCGATTTTCTATTTTGGACCCTAGTGGCCGATTTTGTATTTTGGACACTAGTGGCCGGTTTTTGTATTTTGGACCCTAGTGGCCGATTTTGTATTTTGGACTCAATGCAAGCGGCCGATTTTGTATCTTGGATCCTAGTGGCCGATTTTGGATTTGGGACTCTAGACAACCATGCTGAAGAACGATTTTCTTACTTGCATCCGTTGATGAGTTCTGCAAGAACTCGACTGAGCCATCGGTAGGTGTTGGGTAAGTCCATCTTCACTCTCTCCAGACAGTCAGTCAAACCATCCTCCTGTCAAGTATACTGATATGTCAGGTTTTTCTACACTTAAAATTCTTTTTGAGTAATTTAAAGCGCGTGTCGAAAGTTTGCAGAGGTATTGCTTAGCCCCGCTCTTTGATTGGTCAAAAACTTGCGTACCCTCTCAACCAATCGGATGTTAAACTAACAGCAATCGCGACTTGGTCATACGCGTTTTCGCACGCTTTAGACGGTTTGCTTGTTTTCACTTAGTGATGGATTTCACCAGTGGATTTCGGTTAAAGAGAGCCAGTGTAACAACACAACACAGTCAAACCTATCAATATCTCAGTCTGTAGTGTAAACACAAAAACTACAGCTTTCTGCTAATCACTAATACACTAGAGAAACCATGAGGAAACTTACCAGTCTTTCACAGATCTTTAGCAGCACGTTAGAGTTGTAGAGTCGTCTACGATGATCCTGCCAAGTAAACTTCACGTGTGCACAGGGCTTCGAGTCCTCCCACGGTATATGGTAATACTGTCTGTCATTGGTCACTGGTCTGACAGGTGGTGTAAGTGGGTGGATAAATGGGTTCTCGCCATTTTTGCGTACCTCGTCCACTACCTCACCCGCTAGAGACTGTCCATCAATTGTGTTCCCATAGTTACCTGAAGAAAAGCATTTGTTGTTAAGATTCAAAGTTATAGTTCTACAGGCTGATGTATTCCACGGAAACTACAATGTGAATCAATGACAAGGAAAACATATATCCATACCAATGCTCATCTCAAATTGTATCATCTTGTCGCCAACTTTTCTCTCAATCATGCTGGCCTCGTAAAAACAGGCATATAATTGAAATTGATCCTCTTTTCCAGCTGCAGTCTGAAAAAAGAAAAAACATAATTTAAAGTACCGTCCATGTGAAAATAGTGAACTTGTGACTTTAAAGTAGGCTGGAAAAAATCCTGGAGATTAGCGGAGCCCCATACTCAAGAAAGTTTAGTAACGTATAGAGCTACGAAAGTTTGGTGTGACGTCAGGATCAATCACACATCTCTTCATGACCGTGTGCATCGGTAAGTAGATTTTGTCGCATAAGAAACTGCATTAGGCCCTTTTATTTAGGGACACAGGAGTTTTACTTTAGGAATTCGTGCTCAAACACTCCTTTCCCAAAAGGAAAATTCGAAACTGTTCTTACTTTTGCCCTCAAACAACACTTATCACAAAAGGGAAACAATTTGTCTTCAAAATCATATTCAGACTTAGATTTAACACAGAGATACATGATGTTTCTGAGATTGATGCTCGAGCTGTAGTTTGTCTGGAAAACTTTAACTTACATCAGAGATAGGAGCTGTTGGTTCCACCTCCACCTGACGGATTCCAGCCTCTGATGCAGATTCTCCAAACTCTGCTTGTACAGCCATCAACAGTCTCCCTCTGTAAGCCACACCTTCTCCCTAAATTCAAAATTAGGTCAACAGGTAATCAAACCAGACTATTATTACTGGAGTTTTCCACTAAAAACAAATTGATTTTTTGAGCCTATCATTATCGAAAATGATCTCACTCTTCTCTTGCAACACATAATTGCTCATGACTAGCTTTCTACAAAACAATTTGCATATATGTACCAACACTAAAAACAATATTTTAGGGATTATAGGGTCTTACGAGCAAAGACTACTGCAAGTGCTATTACACAAAAATTAACACGTTGTGCTTTTAATCACTAAAAAAAAGTGCAATTTGTGATACTTTGTGTTTTTGACTTGAGGCAAGTGCATCATAGTAAGCCACTGGACGTAGCTCTCGATTACGCTCTTTGCAGTTTATTCAGAATAAAAAAGTCCATACACCTGTAGCATTTGTTTCCGAAGGAGACGGAAAGTAAACAGCCACAGAAGAAATCCTTTGAGGACATGACAGTTCATACCAGGATATCAGTTCATTTCTGAAATTTTTTCTAAGGGTACACTTTTAACGCCACGACTTACTACTAAACATTAAACCTTTTTTTTTTTTTCAGTCTTACGGTGTATGTTTGGATGACCTACCAGTCCATTGTTTAGATCGTTGTGTTCATCAAACAGTGAGTAATCCCTTGTAGATCCATAAAGGTTCACCCAGCATGGACCAAATGTGGGCATAAAACCTGCGAGCATTTGTTAGACAGAATACCTCAACAATGGAATCAAATAAGTGAATTTTTAAAAATTAACATATCAATAGCCACGTGAAATTAGACCAATTGATTTCTGAAGAGGAGAAATCTCATACAAGTCAGATTTACAGCTATTTGTGTCGTGGTCCATGCAGTGAATGGGGGAAAATACGCAGATTCCCTCTTCTTAAATAAAAACCTTATAAATCAGACTGTCGGAATGATCCTCCTCTTCAGAGTCTCAAATTTCACAATTCTAGTATTATGGAGTAAATTATGAAAAAGACCACTTATTTCATCTGACCTCAAAAAATAATTTAAATACTTGACTAAAAAACTCTGCTTAAGCTGACTTGAAAATACCACAACAATGCATACATGTACACGACCATGGTTTACGAAAATATTCATGGTAATGAAAAAACCACCACACAACTCATACACACACATGATGCTCTGGTTATTTACGGTCATGCATGCTGAATTTCTTTCCAAAAGCCAAGTCCATCGGCTATATTAGTTATAGCACTTCAGAGCAGTCAAAAAGGGAACAGCAATTTCATTCCGCCAGCCAGTTCTAACGACCTCATCAATTAGATTCATGCAAAAAGAAATGCTGCTTTAAGTCCATAATTTATGAACAAATATTGTGTAGCATGTAGCACTAAATGTGTCTTAGAGCAGTGAACTCTTCTCCTGGCAGAACCCCAACATGCATTAGTCTGTTAACAACAACAATACTAACAGAATTACAAAACTTTTCTAAATGAGTTTATGAATATGAAGAATGTTCTTGGTTTGCCAAGTGATTTGCAAACATGGAATGAGAAAGATCTTTTGATGAGTGTTATGATGTAACAGCTTGTAAAATTTCCCGAGCATTGTTCTGAAAATGATGTGATCCTCAAAAATATCAGGATTCCAAATTACCTTACGTGTTTTGGATTAGCTGTCATTATTAATTATCAATAATAGTAACTCGATGGTCGATTGCCTGATTCTTTCACATCGACCCTTTCTTTTCCGAGATATAAAGATCAACTCCCAAACATTCATAGCTCTGAGAATTTGGAGTTTGATTAAACAACATCCCCTGGTCTATCTTGTTCTTTTTATCCTATTTCCCTTTCACTTGAAAATGTATCGATTTGGCAACGAGAGATTCCTTTCCAGTCACTCCCGGGGTTACACACGTTAATCCTTTTCCAATGTATTGTAAAAAATGACAGTGAGGTTGGAACTCCTAAGAATTACAGTGTTGACATGATGGTGCATTAAATAATAGTTACAAGAAGTTCTATGTTTCAGGTTCACACTACTGAAGACAACTATCTCTGTGTTCTACCTGCTCCTGTGTTCCTTCTCATAACAGCTTCAAAAACCATTTCTCTTATCTTTTCTATTGTTTACATACCAATAACAAAAATTATGGATGGTGGCCAAGGACTTGTGTAGGGGGCATCTTGATAACAAGCCTTTACTGGTTCGTTTTGACCACAAAAAATGTTATAGGCAAAAGTGAATTTTCTAAGACTGCTATAGGAACATAATACACTGAATCGAAATATGGCATCCAATTTGAATTCCATAGTTCTGGACTGACTAGCCTCTCACGCGTGATAATCCTTTTATGTTTCCACGTGAAGATGAGACTAGTCAGTCCAGAACGATGGCAATTAAAATTGGATGCCATATTTTGATTTGGTGTATGACAGGCACCGACAGGCATTCAATGCATTGAATATAAGTAAAATATTTACCAATATCAGCTGGATATTTATGAACTTCACAGGCCGATGTCACCCCGACATGTTGATAAGTGACCACCAGCAAATAAACAAAAATGCCACAAAAAATAAAAATGGACAAGATACATTTAGCAAAATCATTCAAGTGAACAAGTCAAGCTTGAACCAGAAAATTGTTAAATGTCTCATGTTATCACCCAATGTAAGAGCGTCTTCAAAGCAAACTCTTGCCAAATCAAAGCCCTTCTACTCCAAATCTCTACATTACGATTCTATTGCACCAAAAGGCGTTGAAACGATCCAGTTCAAGCTTGAATATAAACTTTAAACAACATTGACATGAATCATATTAAACATGTATGTCTAGTGACTACATTAAACTAAGTTACTGTCTCCTACATTACAGTTTTGAGTGAGAGACCTTTATTCCAATGTTAACAGCCAGAAATGGGAGTAGTAACACCACCACAACCATAAGTTTCTCCATCAAAATTTTTTTAAGGCAAAAACTTCTTACAATCATTTTCAATTAGAATCAAAAACTACATATTTTTTTGTCACTCCTCAAAACTACAATGAGTAAACAATTAAAAAAAGGATCCCAGTTTGGTTCCCAGGTGTGTTCCAATGACGTTAAAGGGAACCTCCCCTAGTGGAACAAATTGTTGTTAAATTATGAAAACCGGTCTCTTTAGATAAACCCTGTTTGCGTACATTGGTAAGATGTATTTGCAGCAAGAAATAATTCATATAGATCTTGGCTATTTTGAAACCCCAGAATTCTATGTGCATCGGATTTTCTGACACTTTTTGGTTGCCCCTATCATCTGCATGATCCCCTTTTGAATCCTTTGAACAAAAGCTTTTGTTTGAGGATGCCATTGGCACCACCAGCCTGTAATACGATCTTATCCGGTCTAAAATGCCATCATCTACAGGGAAATTCAACACAAGTATTGCTTGTGTTTGTTTCCATTTTTTAAAACATTTTGGTTTTGATACCTATTTGTTCCACCAATACTTCACATTTTAAGACATTCTCATGAATTTAACACCCTGTTCCACCTGCGGAGGCTTTCTTTAAGACCAAACTTCCTGGGAATGTAATGATTGCAAAGACGCTGCACATGCCCATGCAACTAACATACAATGGATCCATTCCATTGGTTCACTTCCTTGCGGTAAAGCTGCAGGCACACTTTCAACTGAATAAAACAGAGCCACCCCTTCATTCTCACCTGGGACTGGAGTTCATAAACAGAGAAACTAAATCACTTTTGGTAAAGGTCTGGACATACTTGACGACAAGTCTAATTAAGGCACAGCTAATAAGAACAAGCTGCTAAGATAAATAGCAAGTCACTGCAACAGTTCACTTTGGGTGACATGGTGAACTTTGGTGAGATTGTTTTTTCTTTGCAACATAATTTTTTTTCTTGTGATCGATCATGTGAAATCTGACAGGTTTGATTTTGTGCAATAGATCACAGCTGCAAAATTTAGCCCCAAGAACAATTTTTTTCCTAAAGAGTTCTTCATGTCACACGAAGCAAATTGTTGCATTGCATCAACTTACTCCCTCAAAAAGACTTGTAGCCTTCTGTCTCAGCCTTTAACGCTTAATCACACAGTCTTTTTTTTTTAGTCAGGTTAGGTGATACGTTTTTGTTAGACCAGTCAGTATAACTTGTTACAAGAGATGTATGAGGGAAAAAAGGGTACCATTAAGATTGACTCCTCAGAATGTTTTGACTCTTCACAGAAGCTGAGAAGAATTTGAAGGAAAAGTACAAGTCCCAGATTTAGAAGGAAGAGGTTAGATTGAAATAGAAGGACAGCTGGGAGACCAGTTTGGAGGAAAGTGTGCAAGCATCTTTAGAAGGGAATTATCCCAGGGTGCATAATTAAATCTTTCACGGTTTCAATGATTTGATTCTTAAAGCAATATCGTGTTTATAAACTCAGTCTGTAAAAGATAATTTACAAGAATTCAAAGTAAATTCATTTTCCTGTGTTTATGACGATATTTAAATCTGGTGCCCAAGTTTTATCATTAGTGCATTTAAGGAAAAGAGGTGAAAATTTTTAAGAAAAATTAATAGTAAAACTACATTTTAATTCCAGTATTTAGTAAGTATTAAGGAGAATATTCAAACGTCGACTCAGTTGGTGCAAGTTATAGCTGCAGCCATAGATTCATTATCTTTTGGCATAAAATCTACAATTTACATAATACACATGCAGAAGTTTAGGGTAGATTTCTGCCACGTTGTACGATTTTAAAGTGCAGTTACACACATGGATTTAGGGATAATTAAGGATATAAAAGTTGTACTACTTTTAAGTGCAGTTACACACACGTACGTAGGAATAACTAAGGATAGATTTAAGAACTAGAGAAGGCAGGCAGCAGCATATATACACACCAGGAGCCTGAATTGAGCCAGGAACTTTTATGCCCGAGCCTGGAATATAGACCTCTGATAGCCACCCTGTATAGTCAGCCAGCTTAAGTTAGACATGCAGAAAGGCAGGCACATGCATACACAGACACGCCCCATCACCTCACTAACAGCCATGAAGGAGATAGTTGGAAAAGCTACACTGTGCAAAACTGTGTGAGGAATCAATCTAACAACCATTACAGCATGCATTTTTATGGCTGGGATTTCATGACACGAGAACTTTGGACATGTGCACTTTTCTAAAATTTTGTTGCAATAGATGACTTACATTTCTTTGTTTATATTAGTATAAATTGTGGCTGGTTAATTGACAGTTATGGACAGGTTGCTCTCATACTTCACATTTAAAACAAAAAACAGTTCCAACAGAAACAAGAAAACCACTCAAAGACAACAATTATTGATTCATCACAGCCTTTTCTGGAAAAAAATAAAACTCAAATGTTTTGGAAAAAAAAAGAATGTTGGCAAAAAAAATTATTATTTTGTCTGGAAAACATCCTTCTCGGTCAGAATTAATGCAAACTGTGCATTTAGTTAGTCTTCACTTCATGTCAATATTTCACTACCTTAATTGTCATATTTGTTCAATTGTCATATTTGTGCTTCAGAAAATTTGATCCAGTCCTTTTTTCTTCTTGATTTACAATGCAGTGATAAATTTCAGCCAGTAAAAGCAATGCCAAGATATCTCATGTTACAGTGCATGTAAATGGAGCACTAAATGTGATTTGAAATTGCAAGAGCCACCTTTGCCATACATTAATAGATAACAATTGGAATAAGACAAATGATATATCTTGAGTTACAAGTATAGATTACACCATTTGCATTGTGAATTACCAGCTTGAATGCACATCTATACACCCACTGAAAAGCAGGCAACAATTTAACAGTGAAGCATTCTTGTTGACTGTGAATCAATAGCGATGCTAACTTGAATAAACACGACAAAAAGCAGAGAAATGTTCTTTTGCAAACTTTCTCCATGCAATGTACGAGACAAACATGCAGTTTGATTTTAAAAATAATATATCCATAATGGCTCTCTTTTACTTTAATTTATTATTATTTTTTAATTTCACTTTTGGTTAGTTAGTCTTAACTAAAGTTGATTTCAACAGAACATGTAGACTTCTAATTAAAAGTTTTAAAAACATACGACAAAATACAGAAGGAAAATAAGCACTGATGGTGCAAATAAAACAAGCAGAAAACCATTACACAAATAAGAGTACTAGAACTGGCTGACTTTTCTGAAGAGTTTAGGCTAAATCAAATTAAGCATTCAAAGACAAAGTTCCTTGGCTCTGTTTCAATGGCATTAAAGAAAGAGAGATGGCAAACAAAGAGTTCAGAGATGCAAGACCACAGTGTTATAACTTGTGATAAATTGCATCAAAGATTAGTCAAACAGTAAGCAACAAGAGCACAAAGCTGCATAAAAAATACCAGAGTTTTCAGCAGTAAAAATGTCATGGAAAAAAAAAACCCAAAAATCAGCAACCAATAAGAAACAAGCAAAGAAAAGTAAACCGGTCATTCAGACAAAGAGAAATAAAATAATAAGTATCTATAAGAAGAGTTTTTAATTCTCATTTTCAGTTACTGAACGGGATGTATGGATATTCTGTCAGTATAATAAACCTTACTTTATAAATGCGAAGCATAAACGAGCAGAGTGTTAAGTTAGGTATGAGCATCAGAAAGCGTTAGATGTATTACAATAACCATGCACAGAGGTCCAAATGTAAAGTGTAATATGCACTAAAAACATCAAACTGAGTACAAACTGGTTTAAGAGGGAAGTATGTTCCAGAAAAGACACAATTGTTCCCTTCACCATGCAAAAGCACAATAAAAAATTCAATACTTGCCATGTTTTGAGATTGCAAATAGTTATCAAATCATCATTACACACATTCAAATGGTTGAGATAAAATTAAAATTTCCCAAGAGTTTCTGTAACATACTTCTCCCTTTAAAATAGGACATTTAACCCATTCTGACCCAGCACTGTGCAGAAATTTTAGTACCTCCAAATTGACAACTGATCAATTCTTGTCTAAGTTTCTGTTTAATCAATTGTAATTGTTGATGATAATTTGATCATTTCAGGCCTTCTTGTCAGGCAAACAGTGAAAATGATAATTCAATGATCAAAAAAGATGAAGAAATCTCTGAATACCACCTCTAATTAAAGAAAAATATGTTTTGATTACAGAGAAATCATGCTGAAATTGAACATTTTTGAAGACATTTCTACAGTCTGGATAAGGATGGGTCAAAAATGACAAAGACATCAAAATAATTTCCTAAATTAAACAAAATCACTTCAATTTATTAATTATTTAGATTAGAAGTGAAGTTAGATAGGTTAAAATCCACCCAGGTTTTAAACCAGAGAATATTTCAAATGTTACACAAATACCACTGGGTCAGATACAAAAAAAAAAAACTTTTCTGATGCCTTTGTCCAGTTACACAAACACAAATGTAAATCAACACAACACAACAAGATACATAAAATAAAATTGCTACAAGCAATTCATTCATACCATTAGCACCATCATTAGATATCCTGGAGAGGTCAATGAAATGTGTACCAATCACTTCATCAGAAACAGAGTCACTGGATAAAAGAGAACAGAGTGATGTCAAACTTCATGAACAGGATTTCTATTGATATTCTACCAGCATATAAGCCACTTTAAGTTGCTTTTTTTTTAAAGTGTGCATGAAGACAAAAGCAAGCAGCCAGCCTATTGACAATTGCTTAAGACCAACCAACCAATCAATTACCCAAATGACTGCCAAAGGACAGACCAACAGATGGGTCTACATGCTGAATAACAGACCAACCAAACAACAGATCAACCACCTGCACAACAGACCAACCAAAGGAGAGACCAATTGACCAACCTACAGACTGACAGACAGACCAACAGACAGACTAATCAAGGACCATACCAGGAGACAGACAGACCAACAAACAGATGGCAGACTGAAAAGAACAGTCCGAAAGATAGACAGACAAACACTGTCAAATGGAGAAACACAAAATTTATTCAATTACCTGTCCTTTAGTTGAACCTTCATTCTTCTGCAAAGTGGAGGAAACTGTAAAGACAAAAAAATTAGTTCAATCAATTTATTTTCAATAACAAACAAATTAAAGCCACACGTAAACAAGATACGTGAAAAGTGCCTATCACAAAACCCAGTAAAAAACATACCAACTCTGAGAAAACGATCTGTTCATTCCATTTTGGTTCATATGTGTTCTTCTTGACAGTTGTTCTGGCCTGCAAAATAAGTAGTAAAAACGTATTTGCATGAATTTGTTTCCATCAAAATTAGCCAAGTGTCAAATCATGTTTGGAAATTATATGAAACAAAACTCACTTTGTGTCCTGCAAAACAAACTTCCACATATGGGTCCACAAGGTCTCGCACCTATCAGGAAATCAAACATGTCCTTGTCAGATGGATGCTAGCCTACAATTATCCCACTAACATTACATCACAACGCACATATCTGTCAGTGATTACATAGCATCAGAGCACAGAATCTGAAGGTCTGAGGTTTGATTCCTCTTGGGGGAGTCAAAATTTTTTGTCCTCCCACACTTCTGGTTAGCAGTCGGTACAAAAGATACCAATTGAAAATATAAGCAAGTAAACTAGTTTGTAACTATTGAAAACTTTTTTAACAAGTTGCATTGAGTTGCAGGATAATCTTGACTATCAATTTGAAGACACTCTAAACTGGATCTGGCTAACTGCCAGGCTATGAGTTAGGACCAAAATAATCTTACCAGATATTCAATTTTTCTTACCCTGAGCCCTTGAGGCAGTACTTAATTTCAAGGGCACGTCTTAAATAACTAATAAGAATGACTATCTAGGTTTTATATCTCAGATAAGCTGAACAAAAGAATCATGCAGGTTTAAATTTGTTTCTTAAGTAAAACCACACTTTAGTCAAGCTACAATCATTTATAAAGTTACATTCTTACCTCTCCCGTGAATGCTTTCTTGACATTGGCCATGAGACCACTATTCACTGAAAAAAAAGAATGAAACAAAAACTTTTAATACCCACACATTATTCTCCTGACAATTTTCTTAGTCTGCAGTAGAAAGTTCTCAACACAGGAGTGTATTTGTTGTAACAAAAAATTCTCAGGATAATCAGGAAACCATAGTTTCAACATCCTAGATGTGAAAAGATCATCATAATTTTTAAGTCCCTTACTCTTTGGCAATCCTTCAGCTCTGTAAATTTTGACTATAATCCTGGCTTTTGGTCTTTCAGCAGGAACTCCTTCAGGCAGTAGGAGATTCCTAAGGACACAAACATTTTCCATTTAACTAAAAATTTGCACCCTTCAACTCCTATAGAGAAAGAAGTCTTTAATTAAATTTATCTAATGGAGGTGTAACAGCCATTTCATGTTCAGGAAAATGTTAAATAAATATTCAAAATAATCAAAATAGTGCCATACCCTTCAATATCATCATCACTGTCCTTAATGCCTGGAGGTTCCTGCAAAAAATGGAAAGTTTTTTTGGATTCAGTTTTAAAGTGTATCACAATTTCTTTAAAACGACTGCATGAGGGGAGAGGTATAATGGAAGGCTAAAGAATGAAGACTTAGATCCACAAATATTTACAATTAGCCTCTGGCATGGCATACCTTTGCAGGATCACCTTTCCCAAGCACAGTGATGTCCACTTTCAGATAACCCTGAAAAAGGAAAGTGTAATGATTAATGAAAGAATGTGTCAAGAATAACTTGTGTTTTCTTTAAGAAGTGCCAAAGATGACTAATGTAAACAACCCAACTTAATCACCAACAGTCCATCCTCTTACCTTGATACCTGCGCCAGAAGCCCCCAGTGTTTCTTCAGGATCTGTCATCACCGCCCATCTGCGGCAGAATCTGTGATCTGGTTGAGCATAGACAGTTCCTATATCCAGCTAATCAAAGGAAAAAGATATGCAAATTATGTCAAAAGTTACAACAAATCTAACATGTTCTAAATTAGAATATGATAAACTTGACAAAAAGTGTAAACTGAATTCAGATTTTTTCTTAGTTCAAGTTGGGTAAAATTTTCAGCTCAATCTTCACATCAAGATGATCAATAAAAAATAAAGATCACATATTTAATCATTTGAACTATTCTTTATGGTACAGAGATATTACAACACTTGCTGTTATTTCCAACACTTGGAACAAAACCACAGTTTACTGTGGTTACAAAAATAGACATAGAATAAAACAAGGCTTTTTGTTTTCACCTTTCACATGGACTTTTTTCACTCTAATTAATATATTCTATCTTTATACGGACAAAAAAAATTGCTGAATAAATTTAATTGCAATTTTACCTTGAACGCCCCAATCAGGTTACCCTGACTGACTAAATGCCTTCCAGTGAAAACCTTCCAACATAAACAAACAAATAATTTAGAAAATTTATCTTAAAAGACCTGTGAAAACTTCATTTAATTTAACAAAATCATTAGATATATCAGATACAATCATGAAGGACTTCTCTTAAGCATCTTGATTACTATGGGAAGTGTTGGGGTCTGGGACTAGGACCGATCCTTCCCCTGCTAGCAGGTTTTTGTCTTGTAAATATACTTCAGACTAAAAAAAAAAGCTTAATGGGTTGTTTTTTATAAAATCAAGCCAACATTACTTAGAACAAAATGGGTAATTCAACAAGTCAATAACATGAATTGGTCACCACAATGAGTTTGTTAAAAGCTGACATTTCAAGCGTTATACCTTTGTCGGAACAAAAGTGGTTTGGTTAGTTCAGGTTTGGTTAGTTGTTACACTATTATTAGGATTTGCAGCTGTGAACTTGTATCTTTTCTCTCAACAGAGCTAACAGAAGCATTAAGACATTTCTATATGGTCATCTTCCGTTATAATGACAAAAGCAAGCAAATTATTTCCTCTTCAGATATGTCTTAATACTAATAGTTAAGTACTCTCTGGGTCAATTAGAGAATCTGGGCTGTCTGTTTGATTTAAAAGAGTTGACTGATCTGGCACACCTGCTATTAATAATAACAATAATCATGATTTGTAAATCTCTTTTACTATAATTGTGTCATAATGTAATGGTCACCATGACAGGCAGAGAATCATTCTTTACCTGGAAGTTGATGATCTTGTCAAACAAAACCATAGGAGGCATCTTGAAATCAAAGACGAAAAACTGAGGGAAGAAATAACAAGTAGAAAAAGTTAGACTTAGCAAGAAACCAATTGAAACTTACAGTTACAAATAAAAAACTGATTTATTTTCAATTGCTGCAATATAGTTACCTCACACAAAGAAATTATCTCACCTCGTCCCAGAAGGGGCAGTTGGTCTGTTCTTTTACAGTTGTACTCTTCTTTTGATTGCCAACATTTACAGTACAGACAGGATCAATCTGGGTACCTGCGAGTTGCCTTCCCTCAAGAATTCGAATTTGTATCTAGGAAAACAACAAAAGAACAATTTTAACCTTGTTACCCCTGAGATTGACTAGCATCTAATCGCTCCTTTAAAAGTTGCTCCTAAATGAAACATTGGGGTTGCAAGAATTCAGGAAATAATCATCAACATAAGGAGCTTTGATTGTTAAACCAATTCTCCTTGTCAGCATCAATGGGTAACATGTACACATGAGTGTAGAGAATATGTATCCTGATGCTAGGATGTTAAGGGTTCAAGTAACCGATCCAGGAAAAAAGAGACAGTTTCGATAATTAACAAACTGAAGATAAACTAAAGTATGACAAAAATCAAATTCACCCTACCTGATAATCCTGTTCTCTAACTGACATTTTCTTCTCCGCTCTTACTCTTGGATGGGCGTGACTGCTGCATTTAGAGTAAAGAAGAAAAGGATGTTTTGTATCTGTCCAACACTATGATGGCATAATAATGTCCACCTAATAAAAGTTTTATAAACAAGCTTCCGATTAGTTGATCCAATACCAAATTCTGGACTAGCATCATAAGAATTATATGGCAGATAGTAAGAAAAATTACCAATCAGATCTTGGGAGTGAAAGAGTTAAGGAATTCTCTCTAGCCGACATTTTTCTCACTTCTCATTACCTTCCTCCTTGAAAAAGTTTTGATGTGGAAGGGAGAAATTCCTTTTTGGTCACTCCTAGCTATAGGTGTGGTATGAAACAGTTAACATACCACTTCATGCTCATGCTTCTATCACTCTGCATACTGATCTGTGATCCTCTTCGGCTTCCAAGTCCTTCACCTCCTTTCAACATTGCATCAAAAGGTGATCCACCCATTCCACCCTCACCAGGTGTGATCAGGCGTCCACCTCCTCCAAAGGAAGCAGGCATTGACTCCTTTCGACTATGATGCCGCTGGCCTCCAGAGGTGAGGCTCGTCATAGACTGGCTCTTTGATGCCTTGCTGCCAAATGTACTTCCCATGAATGATGCCCTCCTTTCTTCTTTTCTCCCATATGGGTCAGGGTTGTATGGGTCCATCTGGTAATGCCCATCAGGCATGTAACCAACATGGGGTGGGGCATCAAGGGAATCATTGATATTATTCACCCACTGGGATACATTTCCTTCAGGAGGGTTGTACTGCAACTCAAGTTCAACATTGGCCTAAAACAGAAACAACAGAAATCATAAAGCTATCAGGATTGAAACATGTTGGTGGTACATTTATTTAGTACTCTAGACTTCTAGTACTGTCTGAAATTTCAAATAGTTTCTGATTGAAACCATTTCAAATGTTTACCTCCCCTTGTTACATTAAGTCATGACAAATTCACAGTTAAATAAAAGAGCTAAAAAGAGATGCAGAAGAAAATCATTAGCACCTAAATTTGGAAACAGTTTGACAACATGTGTACATTGCACAAGTGACAGTATAGGATAGAACCATACTTTCCATCATTTTAATGGGATAATAATATGTCATTGAACATGAAGTGATAGGGATGCCAGAAAGCTTATAAAACACAACCCAAAAACCATAAAATTAATGTAATTAGATTTAGCTTTATGCAATTATACCAAGGCAGTTGTTATTCCTGTACACTAATGAACATTTTGAGCCAGAATCTCACCTTGAGTACTGTGTTGTTCATGTCAATAAGACTTTCTCTGACGTCCAAATGCCCATCTTGAATGAGCTTTTGGAGTACCATGCGAAACACTCCAACCAGTCTGAAATTAATAATCAAAATCAATAGTAATTAATAAATTGATCAAAATTGATCAATAATTATTCTAAAGCTGTTTCGCCTTTAAAACCTAATTGCAACTTGACCACAGAAAAATTATTTCAAAATTCAAAATACTAGTTAACGAAACCTGTTGTTGAAGATTTTGTTGAAGTTGTAAACTTCAATTTCAATGAATTCACTGGGGTCCAGTGGACTCTCCAAAGGCCACTCAAAGTCCTGAAATGAAATATTATTTATCAAATAAATGGGTAAAACATCTCAGTGTGATTTGCTTAAATATCCCTAAACCCTTTAAGTCAAACTCTTTAAGTCCCACTAGTGACCAAGACAGAATTTCTCCTTACATTATCAGTACAATATCAAGCAGACATCAAGTAATGAGAATAAAGAAAAATTTCAATTAGGGGATTATTGGTTGATCCAATTCCAAATTCTCCAAACTGACATCACATAAATTGTATGGTGGACAGTAAGGAGAATTACTCATGAAATCTTGAGATTAAAGGGTTAATAAACCAACTTGGCCCAGTTTTAGAAGCTATCCATCAGATAAGTCACTATCCAGCTGATAATTAAGTGATTCCAAAACAAACTACACTATCCACCAGATAGACATTTATCCAGTGGATAGCATTATCCAAGCTTCAAACCACAGGAGTCAGTTTTAGAATTGCCCTATGCTTATCACACAGTCACACACACAAGAGACTGACGTTGAGTTAATAAGCTCTTGATTGCAAAACAAACTCTCCTTGATAGTAGCATAGGAGATTTATAGAGAACAGAAAAGAGAATAGACATACTGAAATGAGGATGTAAAGAAAAAACAAATTTTAACCCTTAAACATCTAATTTCTCCTTACAGTATCACTTCTGAAACACGAGAATAAAGGAAATGATGACCAACTATAAAAGCTCTTGATTCTTAAACAAATTCTCCTAATTAATAGCATATGAAATAAATAGAGAACAGTATTGAGAATATCCATTTTGATGTTAGGGTGTGAAGGATTAACTAATTCAAAGGTTAAGGGAGCTAATACATACCTCATCCCAATCAGCTTCAGAACAGTTTTCAATAACACTTGTCTGATATGTTACACCTAAGGGCAAACAAAAAAACATGAATTTCCCTGAAATAATGGTGAATGCAGAGGTAAGAAGTCACACTGTCACACTTGTCAGTCTCATATTCATGTAACACCTGTGTCGCTGGGGATGGTTTGACTACATGGCCAAGTTTACATGTATTGTCGATAAATAAATCTCTGTTGACTTTCCTTTACGTTGCACTTATACTTAGGACATGGAACAACACCATACACTACAAACATATAAATTCCGTAGAAAAACTTTGGATCTCAACTTGTTAGACTTTCTCCTTTGTTTATTGAGTTTTCCAACAAGTTCCAATTCTATTTTGCTTTGACTATTTGAATAAATCACTTTGATCTAAAATAACAGAAAATGGGAGGAAAACACTAACAATTTGAAAAATCTTGTAATTAATTTGAACTATGTGATTAAATTACACTTCTGGAAACAATCTAAACTGAAACTAAAACATGCTTCTGACTTTGGTTCACTCATTTATTAGTTTGCTTGGGACACAATCACTTCTTTTAACACAAGTATGCCTTTATTCTGCAATGGGCATCTTTCAGGTACTCAAAATCAAGGTAATGCTTTTTTTTTTCCTCCTTAAATCATAGAAATAAAACATATAGAGTACCCAAGACTAAACAATGAATTTATCCAAAATTATTCATGTTTAGAAAATCATACTGTTCTATGTGACCAATTGCTCAACAACTCAATGCTTAAAGTAGAGTTTTAACTCCTTAATAAATTTCTGTCAAGACGGATTATAAAGACAAAACAGCCATACAAAAGGGGCTATTTAGAAGGAAATGTTAATAACACAAAAAAAAATTACACAAATCTGTCAGTGCTGTAAACCCTTCATTGGAAATTGTAACCTCATCACCTGTTAGCACTATCAAAGAAAATTACATCATATTTTTTGTACTCAAAAAATTGAATTCTGTTTTCCAGATTTCCATGTTTTTTGACTGACACAACCAAGATCAACAGATAAGACCAGTTTAAGCTTACTGATCAATGATAAAAGACAAATATCACAGTTCAGGGGCATTCTTTGTCTTCCTAGTACAGTCTGGTAATCTGACATTCGATTTATCATTACAAAGGAATAAATTTAACTCTGTACTGTAAATATAATTCAACTATCAGAGGGATTTTCTTTCCTTTTTACAGGAAGAAAACATATTCTAAATAATAATAACCATTTACCACACATTCAAATGCAATGAAATTTTAAAAAAATAACAAATATCAAGTCGCTTTCAAACTCGTACACATATTTATTTCTCTCGCTGAAAAGTTTGGCATGAAAACATTGCCATTAAATTTCTCGTTTGTTTACACAATAAAAATTATGACACACATTGAAAGTAATTCTTGTGATTGATCTATATTGACAGATATTTTTAAGTAACATTCACCCTTACACAGAGTAAAATTATAAAGAATGCTGCAAAAATCAAATTTTACAGTCCTACGAAAAAATTGCGACACAGATAAATATGAAATCTACATAGCCCGCCGCCATGTTTCTGCCGGAAGCATTCGAAGACATTTAAGTTGGCGGACCAACATTGTAAATCTTCCACGCAGAAACGATAAAATATTGCCTTCTAAACCCAAAATAAATGACACAGGTTCTAATTTAGCCATCCTACTGAGACAGAGTTTTTTTTAACGAAGAAATGACAACTTCAACATTTAAAAGAAATTCAAACTATGCTGAAGTTTGCATGGTTGAATGATTTTCTCGACCACCGCGATCGGTTTACGGAAGGAAGGTTAACATCAAACGCTTGTAACTTCTAACGCAATATAAAATTATTCGGTAGAATTTTCGAAGAAAACGGTGTTTTGACAATTTTTGAGCGACAGACAATCGAAAGATTTCTCATTCACCTTAAAAGAACTTTACAATAATTAATTTTCGAAAATTTGCCACACTGAAAACCAAGACAACTCGAAATATCACTACCAACTAACAAACAGATATATATTCTCGGTGAAATGGACTCTTGAATAAAAGCTATGCAACTGAAGCGGTGTTTTCTGAGCTTGAAGAAGTTTGGGGATCAAAAAAGCAATAAAACGATGAGAATTCCCAACGAAGAAAACCATGTAAAACGCTTAGCGCGCAATTAAGCCGAACTACACAACTTGAATAATTAAGAAAAATTCACCAGCTACAACATAAACCAGTCTAGAGAATGGATCGTGCCTTTGAAAATGATTATAAAACTTAAAATAAAAAAATTCCAAATTAAACCAGATAAAATATATAAAAATTACGGTAAAAGAACGACTGAGAGCGACTTTCGAAGCCCACTAACAAAATTTACCGCGAATCGTTTGCGATTGCCAGAAAGGCTTCCTTAGAAACTTCAAGCTGCTGACAGCTGTTAATTCTTGAAGAATTTTAAAAAACATACCTCTAAAAGTGACCCTCGCTATTCGGTCAGATTTCCCTCGAAGATTGGAGCAAGTTTTTAGAAGTAGAAGAAGAGACATTTTCGTAAGTCTGTCAACTCCGCAACATGGCGATGGAAAATGCGAGGGAGAACTCTTCTGTTAGTGATGAACAGACCAATCAGGAAGCAGCTTTAGGAGCAGTTGGTTTAGCAAAGAATAATTGATCTTCAATTTGCGCATTCGTCTGATTTTGAATAATTCATATTTCTTCTCGAAAAAAAAATCCCAAAAGAAAAATCAACCATACAAATATTTCTTCAAAAAAAAGAAATTCTCGCCTAGTTAAAGAATAATCTCTTCAAAGAGATTTCTCACAATATACAGAGAAAGTGTATATGTGTGAATCGAAACACAAGAAAATCAGGACGAAGATAATTGAATCACAATAAAGCGGCTGAAGATTTTCTTTTTGCCTGTGTGAATTCCTGACAACGCAAGAACACTGAACATTTACATAGGATGTGGGGGCAGAATTTGTTATTTAAATTTTAATGCGTACATTGTCAATTTTCTTTGGATGGTTTCGACAACCCGAAAGAGGTGTTTATTCGATGAAGATAATAAAGTCCGTGATTTCACTGGCTTACCCTGATCTGTAACCATAGTGAGAATTTGCGTCAAACGAAATAGAAAAGTGATTTGCTTGAAGAACAAGAAATGGTTTGGGACAGGTGGTAAGATGAAACATTCGAAATGCTATTTTTAATCCCATGACGTACAAAATATCAGCGCGGAATGGGCGAGAGGGATTTGAATTCAGTTTTGATTTATCCTTTATAGAACTAACCGACCAACCTCCGAATTATCTCTAAGACAATTCCATTCGAACCACAGACACCCTCAGCGCCAATCGAGGAAGGATAGCTTTAAAAAAAAAGGGGGGGCATGATGAAAAGGGAAAGAAAAATTTTGTGTTTACAACACTCAGGGTATTTCTTTTTTCCTGCAGTATCACACAGAGCCATTAAAAGCTAATTCTAATTTTATGATCAAATTAATCATTGTTCATCTACGCAGTCTTATAACTCTGATTGTATCACCATCAACCACACGGGAAAGAAAGCCAAAGTTTAAATTTTCAGCAATGAGTTCGTCCATATACCCCGCTGATCCATATCTGTAAACCACTTTGAAAAGAAAAACTCGTCGGATCGCAACTAAATCGCCACTTTGAGGCAGCACTCAAAACAGAGGCTGGACATCGACAGAAGAAAATATAACCATCGATTGGGAAAGAGTATTTGGGTATTTGATGGCCCTTCGCAGTTCAAATTTGATACTTTTTTAAAGCAAAATTGCGCCTCGGGAGGGTAGCTTTACAAACCAAGTGCTGTTCTCCCCCACACGCAAATTGAGAGTTTTTAATTCCTGATGATAAAAGACGCAAGTCAAAGGGGGGACATGAAATAGGAAAAATATCCGTCAATTGTTTTTTGTGTTCTTTCCGGTTTAGAAATAGCACATCAAAGCCACCTTTTATGCGAAATCTTCCATATGGGGCGATCTGCGAACCACAATGATGTAACAATCATTTTGACCACAGAAGTCAGAGAGAGATCTAGAAACAAAATAAGTTTCTCTTCTCGCCTTTCATACTCTGAAGTGTACAGGAAAAACTGGTACAAACTCAGATGTCCTCTCTTAGGGAACAAGAGCTCTCAATCTTTTCCAGTTCGCGAAACAGATTGACGGTTTGAGCTCCAGCAGGTTTTCTCGATAATCTCAAAATTGCCAATTTTTTGATAATAATAAATTCTATGAGCTCCTGTCTGGTTGAATAAAACTTTCTTTTGGAAAATTGTTTTCTCGCCCAAAAGGTAGCGTAGGGGTGGGGTAACGTCCACAGACGCTCGTTCAAGAAAATAGATTATGTACGTTTGACACACTGGAAAAGATTCATACAAGGTGAGTCCTTTGGATTCGCGTCTTTTCACAAACCTTTCGTATTAAGTGTGAAAAATAAAATTATCATACAAAGGGGGTGGTCACGTGCTCCCCGGACCACATCCTCGCTCCTGTCACCGACTGTACTCTACTGATGCCCTATTCTAATCCTGCGACGCAGTTTCGGAAGTGTTCCATTTCTTTCTTTACACACTGTAAACCAAGTGAGGATTTTAGTCCGAAACAGAACTGTCACAAGAAGGGGGGAGGGGGGGGGAATACATCAGTACTTTCGATGAAGGGGCCCCGAGCACTTTCAGGTTATAATAATAATAATGATGATGATGGTTTATTAAAATACACATGGTGGCATAAAAACTATGAATTACAGTGTGCCTACAACAGTGTGCCTACATGATAAAAGAAATAAATTTACATTTGTTTCGAAGGGACTGGGATTACAGGCTATTTATAAGTTATTTACAATTCGGATATGGATAAAATACTATAATAAAAATAACCAGACTCCTATTGATTAGTTAATTTTCGCCATTGCCGGGAAAAAACTAGAACCAAAGCGTTTTTTTCTATACTGAAAACGGCTAGAACTGCTATTGTTCCTAATATGGTGAGAGTGGCATTCGGATCGCACGGAAGGGAGGAGACGGTGCAGCTGGCAGGCCGGGTTATTTTTGATATTGTGCCACACTTTGAGACACAGGTGGGCGCGTCTATCCTCTAAACTGGTAATGTTGGCTTGCGCGAGAGCCTGTTGATAGTGGAGGTCAGGATATACGATTCGCAGAGCCCTCTTCTGGATAGCCTCTAGCTGGTCAATGAGGAGGCGTGGAAGGCAGGTAGCCCAGACAACGGAAGAGTATTCTAGGACAGAGCGAACCAAGGCGCTATAGATGGTGACAAAGTCCGCCGGAGGGACCCCAGCGCGCTTTAAGACCCTAAGAATGTGCAGTCGCTTGGACGCTTTGGAGACGATGTCGTTGGTATTATCGTTCCACTTCAGGGTGTCACACAGGGTCAGACCAAGAACTTTGTAAGATGAAACTGCCTCTAGAGGTAAATTATTGATAGAGAGCATTGGGGAAACGGGTTTGATTTTGAGTGGACAGATGGTCATGATCTTACATTTTTTAGGGTTGAGATTCATGTTGTTCTGCAGGGCCCATTGCGAAATGCAGTCGATGTCGTTCTGCAGAGATGACACCTCCCCCAAACTGGAGACCTCGGGTATTGTTACGTCATCGACGTACTTCCAGTGGCTCGAGTGGAGGGGGGAGTGAGTAGCCAGGTCGTTGATCATTATCAGAAAAAGGATTGGACCCAATTTGGTGCCCTGGGGGACACCGGAATGTACGGACATCCACTCTGAGATGGAGTCCAAGAGCTTAACAGCCTGGCGGCGGCCACTGAGGAAGCTACAAATCCAACTAATCAACCAGCCTCTAACACCTAGATGGATTAGCTTGGTCACCAAGATGGTATGGTCAATGTGATCACATGCTTTGCTAAAGTCCAGAAAGCACACACGGAGGAACTTGCCAGGGCAGTCAAGGGACGACAGCCAACTGTGCAGCATATCCAATAGGCAGTAGGTTGTAGAAGTACCTTTAAGGCTGCCAAACTGTTGAGGATCAATATGATGTTTAACGTCATCTATTAGCCACTCGACAAAGAAATCTTCAAGCACCTTAGAGAGCACTAGAGTCAAGGCGATAGGTCGCAAGTCCCTGTCACCCGTAACTGGTTTGACCTTTGGGACGGGTGTTGGGTGAGAGTCTTTCCACCGTTCTGGAAAAACGCCAGATGACACTGAGCGATTGAAGATCACTGTCACTGGTTCAGCAAGCTCAGGTGCAAATTTTTTGAGGAGGCGCGCAGGAATGCCATCCGGCCCTGAGGCTTTGTAGGCACTAAGACCAAGTAGCTTATGACATACAGCTGGGGTGGTAATAGTTGGTGGTTGGTTCGGCGATGGCAAGAAAGCAGGAAGGGCGGCGGTGTCGAGTGGTTGGATGTCAGATGTAACAGATACGAAATAGCTGTTCAGACGAGTCGCAAGGGTTTTACCTGAGATAATGTTGCCATGTCCGTCAGGATAGCATAACTCGGAATCAGTAAAAGATTTTCCAGCAAGCTTGCTCACCAGGCTCCACCAGCTTCTATATAGGGTCTGAGGTTTTGAGACTCATCACCTTGCGAGCGAAGAATTCCTTCTTGCGCTTACAGATTGCTATGCACACTTTATTCCTGAGGGGTCGCCATCTATCGTTAGACCCAGAATGATATGAACGCTGCCGCACCAGGATTAATGATTTAATTTCGGCAGACATCCAGGGTTTATCAGTCGGATGTAGTTAGACACTCTTCGCCGGGAAGTAGATGTTGATTGCGTTGCAGAGGTCGTCAGAAAACGACGATGTCAGACTGTCCACCGATAAGGAATCAGCTGCGCACGTTTGTGCAAACCAGCTATGTACACTAACCCATCTCCCAAAGGCGTTGAGTGCCGACACTGGAAAGTGTCAAAAATTCACTTTCTTTTTGAAGAAAAGTTTCAAAATTAAGGGAATCATTGTAACATGATTTCCCTCCTCTCCATGGCTTAGTGCAACGTAGTGTTCTTTAAAGAAGGTCTAAATGGGGTTGACCGACCAGTGATAACAATTGGTTCATACGTCAGCGTGCGTTCATCGAGATCTGAAGCACGCGGGAAGTCTGGAGAGCACGAAAGATGCGTAAGAGTTGCTCGAGGCTAGCCGAGAGCAACTCTAGCTTCTTGAGTGCTCTCAAGAAGCCGTCAAAATAATGAAATTTTAACCAAAATCGACATAAGTACCTCCCCCCCTACTTATTCAGAACCTCTTTTAAGTATCATGACATGCGTAACCCTTCAGCCCCTCAGGGTGACTAGCTACTAGTCTCTCCCTGAGAGCAGTTGATTCAAACGTTAGTCTCATGAGGATTAACGAAATGATCGCAAACTTGTATTGAAAACAAAGTTCTTGATTTTAATTAAATTCTCTTTGTTATTACCTCAGGAAATGTACAGAGACCAGTGTGAAGAATGTGAATGCTGAAGTTGGGCTGTATTTCAGTGTTGTTAGGTATAAGTACTCATTCAAAAGGCGTGCAATGCTGTCCAAAAAATCCAGAAAGTTTTCGTTTTGGACGAAAATCTGTTTTTATTCATGTAGTAACTTGTCTCCTTGGTAGGCTGACAATACGCTTTCTAAAGTAGAGTTCTTTTAAATGCTGATCATGAAGAAAAGAAGCAAAACTAGCTTAAAACTTTCTTAGGTAAAAA